AGGAAAGAGCTGCTAAAACCCACCTTCATACTTTCCCCCATCACTGGGCTTTCAGAGCAATACTGAACTTACGTTGCCAATCACCATCCCCTCCCCATTATCTGGGTTTCCTACTCATGGGTAACAGCTCCTTTGCTAGCACACACCCCAAGTGACTGAGCCAGGGCTCTAAGCAGGCACAGCCACATCCTCCCTCCTTCCCCATCTCCCCCACTATCAGGCTGCAGCCACATGAAGCTGATCCAGAATTAAACCAATTTTCACCTGTCTCCCCACAGCTTCTTCATCATGTCTTCGACCTTCTTGGCACGCTCAGATGCGTTCAGCTGGGCATCCCCCTTGGCAGCAAACTTTGCAACGTACATTTCAGCAAACTGCTTCAGAGTGAAGGCCCAGCCATGCAGGCCAGAGCCAAAGCCCACTGTGCCCAGCACTGGGTCAATCTGGAAGGGAACCAACATCAGGGCTGTGTTACAGAGGAACCACCACAGCACGTGACACCAATCAGCCCATTTCATCCCAAGCAGCACTGAGTACAAAGGTTCAAGGTGGAGCTTCAGGACTAATCTTGAGCCACTCTGTATGACAGCAGCCATCTCTTGAGTTCGCAATTACAGCCCAGCCCACCTCCGTATCAGCTCTGTATCACACAACCAGGTTGGGTTTTCTTCAACAGGCTCAGCAGCTGCCCTGGTGCGGGTGCAGGGAACACTCCTGTCCTTCTGAGGAAGGATGAGCAGTACAGGAAACCTGCAGCACGTGGTGAGTGCCCAATGGGGAAAAACCAGGAGCCTTTCCTTAGAGCCTCCAGCCCACAGCCCAGCTTGCTCTGAGGAACCCACCCAGGAGCAGGGCTTGGGATGCAGGAAATGGCAAACACCTACTGGCCTCCCATTTCGGAAAAGAGCTGGGGGTGGGATGCTGTATGGGAACCTGAGATCTCACGTCACCCACCATCACAGATGTGATGTGAGCAAGAAGGGGGCCTTCAAAGCAACAGTCCCCTTTGGAAAGGGAGGAAATGCTTCCCTGTGTTTATAGTCTTTATTTGCTCAAGCTTTGAACTAGCATGTTATATTAGATGAAAGCACAACAGAGCTCCAAACCAGCACGCATCTAGGTGAGATAGCATTCTCATTACTCTACTCTTGCTTCTCCACTTGGGACAGGAAAGAAGGACCAAGGAGACAACCAGCTCCCTCCCACTGCAGGAGACAAGCTCAAACACAGCACTCCCAGCTCCCACTTACCATGATGTTTCCCATGGGGCCGCTTTCCCCTTCTCCATAGGTGGAGATGATGACGTTCACGTTCTCCACGATGCGCTGGAAGGTCTGGTACAGCTCTTCTGGCTCCAGCTGCAGCTCCAGCAGTGCTCGGTCCATCTTGTTCATCATCAGGACAGGCTTGATCCTCTCTGCAATGGCCTGACGCAGCACAGTCTCTGTCTGCACGCACACGCCTGCCAAACACAGGGGAGTCAGTTATCCCCAGCTTCAAGCTCACTCAACACACACCCCAGCTGCACAAGCCCTTACCAGAGACGCAGTCTACAACAACCAGGGCACCATCAGTGACACGAAGAGCAGCAGTAACCTCTGAAGAGAAGTCCACATGCCCAGGAGAGTCAATCAGGTTGATCAAGAAGCCAGAACCATCTTTGCTCTGCTTGATGAAGGCCAAATCGTTTTCAGAGAGCTCATAAAATAGGGAAATAGCTCTGAAATGAAAGAAAAACTATTCAAATTGTCATCTACACATTACCTCTCCTGACAGCTTAGAAACAGGCTTTTACTCCAGACAGACAGCTATGCCTGAGTCTAAGGACCTCTCCCAGTGTGGGAGATAACCAGGAGCACAGCCTAAAATCTGCCCTTCCTGTGGCCCTCTGAAACCAGTACCTCTTCTGAAACCATAACCTCTTGTAACCCTCTGCAATCTGAAATGCCCAAAGAGGGTTCCATTTCTTCCAATCAAGCATCTACCCTTTTCCTACAGGGCCCAACCACCTTTCTGAGCTCTCTCCATGCCCATCAGGGTCATAAAACTGCCTGTGGCGACACAGCCACAAGGTACATCACCAGAGGTGCTCCCGAGACAGTTGCTGCACTGCATCCACAGGACTTCAGTGGGCACCAGCCACATCCAACAGTTCCAGGGCTAAAATACAAGGCTGAAGCTCCTGCTGTACGTCCACTTCCCAGTGGCCACTAAGGTGATGCTCTATGACTCACCAGAAGCTACTCACTACTCGCTCTCCCAATTAAGTAATCCTCAAGAGATGAGCTTCTGAACTAGCCTAGACAAAGCCTGATGCTCTCTTCACCCCTCTCATCATCAGTGGAGCACTCAAAGCCCACCCTGAGCTCAGGCCATGCTGCAGGAGCACCGAGGAGCCTGGCAGGAAGGCACTCACGTTGATTTGATGGTGATGCACCGTTCCTGCTCATCCTTTCTTGTGTCGGTGAACCGGGTCTCCCCCGCGCGGGCAGAAGCGATGATTCCAGCTTTGCATACCAGAGAATCAGTCAAGGTTGATTTGCCGTGATCAACGTGGGCAATCACAGACATGTTTCTGATGTTGGCCTTTTTGTCCATGATGGCCCGTATCTGGTCTACTGTGAAGTTCACCTTGACGAGTGAGAGAAGGGGAGGGAAGAGTATAACACGGGGTGTATAGAAACAGCTTCAGCAACTCCAGGGAGCCCAATCACCTGCCATGGCCCCACTGACAGCGGCTCTGCCTGCACTACACCACAGCCCGCAGCAAGGGCACCGCAGACACCGGCGTCACGGCTCAGGCCTGCAGTGGGAGCACTCAGCTCAGCGTCCTCCCAACCGCAGCACCATGAAGGGTGTCCCCCTCAGCTAAACCCAAGCCCTCTCTTGGGCGCTGCTCCGCGGCTGGAGGGGAGGGTGACAGCCCGGAGCGCTGCCCCCGCCCGGCCCGCAGCGTTACATAAGGCAGCCGCCGGCCGCCGCAAAGGCCCGTCCCCGACGTCAACACCGCCGCGGTGCCACATCACCGCCGCTGCCGCCCTCCCCGCGGGCCGGAGGAAGGGCCCCGCTACCACCGGGAACGAGGACCCCGCTGGGGCCGCTGAGCCCAGCCCCACCCGTCTCCCCTCAGCAGCGGCCCAGCCCGGCACGCCAGACCCTGTCGCCGCAGGGCTCCCCGCCGGCGAGGCCATCGCCGCTGACACGAGGAGCGCGGTGCCCGCTGAGCTCGGCAGGGCGGCGGTGGGGCGCGGGGACTCACCATGGTGGCGGATGGCGGCGGATTCTCTGGGGCGGGGGGGTCACAGCAATGGCGGCGGCAACGGCCCTGTCTCGCTGGCGAGCGCAGAGCGGGCGGAAGAGAGCGCTGACGTCAACAGCCCCCTTCTTATAGGGCGGCGCCGGCCGGGGGGCGGCACCTGCGCACCCGGCGAGTTTTGCGCAGGCGCGGCTGCGGCTCTCTGGCCCTCAGCGGCTCTATGGTTGGGGCGATTGGAGGCTGCACGGCCGGGCACCGGGACTGCGCGGGGCCTGCAGCAGGGCAAGCAGCCACCGGACCGACGGGCAGCCCGGGGCTCCGGGTCGTGCAAAGCGGCGGTGCAGCAGAGCCCGGTGTCAGTCCCGTCCCAGCGCCCCGCTCCCATACCCGGCTTGCCGAGGGCCTGTAGCGGCGAAGCTCCAGCGCCCACTGCGGGCAAGGAGGAGCACGGTTCCTCACCTGCCTCCGGATGGGACCCTTGGGGACCCCGCTGCCAGCTCCTGCCTGATTCCTGCACGTGTCTGTGCCAGGCAGGGACCGGCAGGACGGCGGCGGAGCTCCCGTTGGGGTGACAGGATGAGTTACCGGCTGATGGGGTTTTCATAGCGATCGCTTGAAGCTTTAGCACCGACAGTGGCCTGTGCTGGACAGGAAGGGAACGCTGGATAGCCTGACCGGCCTGCCTAGGCGGCTGGTTAATTGCCTTTCTGCTTAATTAGCTGTGGTGTTGATAAGGAGGAGGAAGTGCTGGAAAAATTCTCCTGGTGCAATGTATCACCCGACTCCCAGGGTTCCCTCCTGAAGAGGATGCTATGTACACATAGAAATGGAGCAATTGGAGCCCAGGGAGGAAATATAAAACATAGGAGAAATAATTTCTACATAAAAGAGGTTTTTAATAAGTGATGGTTATTGGAGAGAGCTTTCCATGGTGGTAACAAACACTGACCTCGATGGGAGGGCTGCAGGATCTCAGGGCTGCAATCACCACCAAGCAGGATGGGTGTCGACACACGATGCCCCAGGGGAGTGTGACCAAAGGGACAGCATGGCACCTTCCACTGGAGCAGCTTGCTCCAAGCCCCTGTGTCCAACCTGGCCTTGAGCACTGCCAGGGATGGGGCAGCCACAGCTTCTCTGGGCACCCTGTGCCAGCGCCTCAGCACCCTCACAGGGAAGAGCTTCTGCCTAAGAGCTCAGCTCAGTCTCCCCTCTGGCAGGTTCAAGCCATTCCCCTTGGCCTGTCCCTACAGGCCCTTGTCCCAAGCCCCTCTCCAGGTTTCCTGCAGCCCCTTTAGGCACTGGAGCTGCTCTAAGGTCTCCCCTTCAGAAGCCTTCTCTTCTCCAGGCTGCCCCAGCCCAGCTCTCTCAGCCTGGCTCCAGAGCAGAGCTGCTCCAGCCCTCGCAGCAGCTCCATGGCCTCCTCTGGCCTTGATCCATCGGCTCCACGTCCCTCTTGTGCTGCTGCCCCAGAGCTGGATCAGGACTGCAGGGGGGGCCTCCCCAGAGCGGAGGAGAGGGACAGGATCCCCCCCATTGACCTGCCTCCCATGCAGCCCAGCACACGGCGGTGATCTGGGCCGGGTCATTGCGAGTTTCTCCTTGGGCCTGCTCCGGGCTGGCGGAGGGATCAGCACCGGGACCGGGGATCCACTTTCCGGTTAAAAAGGGTGCGCGGTCCCTTTAAGCCTCCCGGAATAGGCGGGGCCACTGCGCCTGCGCTGTGGGAGGGCTTCCCGGGGAGGGGAAGAGCGAGCTCGCGCGCGCTCGCGGGGGGATTCGGAGGCGGTGCGCGCCCTCAGCGCCCCTCCCACCGCTCCGCGGCGTCACGTGACTCGGCGGCGGCTCCCGGCGCGGTTGGACGCTGGAGGCCAAGATGGCGGCGGAGCTGGTGGAGGCGAAAGTGAGTGAGTGAGGAGAGACCCGGGCCCCGGGGGCTCTGGGCCGGGCAGGGCAGGGCCGGGAGGGGCTCGGTGGGGGCACTGCGGGCGGGAGGCACAGCTCCGGCCTCGTCCCTGGAGCCGGCAGTGAGAGCCGAGGGGGCGGCGCCCTGGTTCCGCCCCCCCCCCTCCATTTACTTCAGGGGCTGCCCCGCCCCAGCCGTGGGGTCCCTCAGCAGCTCCCGCTGGACCCTGGGCCCGGTTCGGCCCGGCTGCAGAGCCCCCGCCGCTGGGCTCGGTCCTGGGCCGGGCCTCGGTGTTCCCCGCGGGTAATTCCCAGTGATTAATTAGCGCAGGTGGCTTCCCCCGCCGACCGGCGGGCTCCGGCCCCCGCTCCCCGCGCACCTCGCTTTCTCCCCCAGGCCAGGCGTGCCCTGTGCTCCGCCGCCTCACCGCGGCCTGCCCCGGGCTCCCTGCGGCCGGTTCGGGGGCGGGGTGCGGAGCTGTCCAGCCGGGCCCCGCGGGTGGAGCGCTCGGGAGCTCTTGCAGCGGCCTCGAGGGGGATGGCGGTGGGACGAGCAGGGCCCTAGGCCGGGGTAGAGCGCTGCGTGGTGGGGGCGACCCCTTCGGCCATGGGGTGAAGGGAAGCGTCTTCACAGCAGACGGGCCTGAAGTTGTGTTGTGCTTCCTCGTGTTCTGTGCACACCCCCAGGCCTTGTGGGTGCCCTGCTCTGCCATGTGTTTCTCCTTTTCCCTCGGGGTCCATCTCCAGGAGCCAGGACTTGTCCACGTCCTGTCGGTGCCACAGAGACCTGGTTGGTGGCACACGAGTGGGCTTCACCCCACAGCCTGGCAGGGAATCTGGTGCTGAGGGTGCTTACAGAGCAATAGCAGCAGGTAGAAAGTGTTTCACATCTGTAGGGTCAGCCCATCAGTGAGGATGTGGTCAGATACCTGTTGGAATAGGATTTGGAGAGGCTTGTTTTAGGGGACATTGCCTTCTCCCTGTTCTTGGGCCACTCTCGGTGTGGTGAACTGTGCCCAATGCTGCAGAGAAGGGCATGTGCTTCCAGGGTGTTATGGTTGTCCCTGTAGTGGGTGTTTAATGGGCTCCGTGCCACTCACATGCAAGGATTCCTGGGGGAAGGAATAGGCTTTAGCATTAAGGATCTCAGTAGTTAGTGGGATGTCTCTTACTCATGCTATTGTGCAGGTCCAAGCCTTAGTGGCAGTTTCATTTGAAGTCACTTTGGTTACTGCTTAAATCTGGTCATCCTTCAAAATGGAAGCTGCAGAAGACCATCAGCTTGAAACTCCACTTTATGCACCAACAGTCCCTAGTGCCCCTTGGAATAGGAGCATGAGTGTGGGAATACCTCTCTGCTGTGCTTCTAGTGCTGCCGTGGTGTATTTACCTTTGCAAATGCACGGTTTAGCCTCCAAGTGCCTCAGAGAGGACAACACGCTCTCCATTTTGTAGTTGAAGAAAACTGAGACACAGAAAGTAGGTTTCTCCCAAGATCACTCAGGTGGGATGTGGCAAAGCAGCAGGATGATCCAGATCTCCTGAATCCTGACTCTCTGTCATTTAAAAATCCTTTCTTTCCTCTTTAAAGTTGTCTGAGAGGGGGAAAAACAACCCTCTCATCAAAGGTATTTTGGGACACATCATGACTGCCAAAGATTTTAACTACAGGCAGTGACGTTTTTGTAGCATCTTTTGGGCTTCCAGATTAAATGACAGATTTCATGAGAAAGGAGAAAATAAAATGGCATTTTCCCTGTAGTCTAATTCCCATACATGTGAAAGAAACGGCTGTTCAATGTTGCCGGAATCAGTAGTAGCTTTCTTAAGTTAAAATTTAAACCCAAAAAAACCCATCAAAACCCTTTGTTTTTGTTTTAGTCCAGAAAATTACAAGGCTCCTATTAACTTCCACAGAAATCTGATTTTTATACATGCTTTTTTTAACTGTAATCCCCATACAGGAGTGGAACATAGGTTGGATCTCTGCTTCTGCTTTGGTTTTAGTTTTTTACTGCAAGACAGCTGGGGTTTCTTCTTCAATTCCCATCCTTCCCACAAACCAGGGAGGATATTGAGTGAATCCACATGGATACCTATCAAAATATATTTTTAGGGCAGCTTGTGTTTTCAAAAGCATGTACTTGATAAGCGTGTCTTGTGCATTCGTAAAGCTGCTTTGGCATAAGAGAGAACTGAAACATCAGCATGAGCGGGCTCTAGCACAAATAATTCCTACTTCTTACCCTGATGGAAAATTACCTGATAGAGTCACCTGTGACCCTGCACCTGAGTTTCCATAGGAGCAACAGAGTAAAGTTTTGGAGACGGAGGTTGTTTTTTTGTTGCTTATCAAAGCACTGCAATCGATTCATCTCAGTGCAACAGCAGAGGCAGCTGGCTGTGGCCATGGGGGAGTGCTTGGCAAAGCACCCAAATAAGGTTTGGAGGCATTGTTCTCATGGGAACATGCTGCTCTCTTTAATAGTCTTCTAATAGCTTTCCATGCTCTAAAATATGTGATTTTTTTTTTCCAAAGATCCTGTAGGAATGATTCTGAAGGGGTTTTGCCCATGCAGGTAATGTACAGGTGCACTGAAACACGGGACAAAAGGACTGGCAGCTCCAGCTCACTTAAATGTCACTTGCCATCCACTTCCCATTCATTTTCTTCCTTTGCCTTCCACTAATACCAGTTTAGATGCAGTTTTTAATGTAGCTCTCACCTGAAGGTGCCTGGGAAGTCTGGATGCTTGGAGCTTCCATGCCCAAGGAGTTAAGGTGCTGTTTCAATGTGTGGGGACTGGTCTTTGAGGTGCTTTCCTTTGTGTTCACTCTTGCTTCCAGTTGACCCACCTTGAGGATTTATCTGTAGCATTTATCACAAATGATTTTTGAGTAATTGGTTGACTGTTTTGGCATCTCTCTGTTTCTTACTGGTATTTCAGTTGATGGTCTCCTCTATATTCACTTTACTCAGAGAAGTACCTAAGAAACTGGATGATACTCAGGTGAATAAGAGCTGGTATAAACAGAAGGCTTAGTGCCTTGTAAGGGAGTTTTGTAGTATTTTGGCTTATAGTTGTAGTATATAATAAGAACTGACACTCTGCATTCTTATAACTGTAAGGATGTTTTTACTTTTTTTCTCCCCTAGAACATGGTGATGAGTTTCCGAGTCTCAGATCTTCAGATGTTGCTGGGTTTCGTTGGCAGGAGTAAAAGCGGACTTAAACATGAACTAGTCACCAGAGCATTGCAACTGGTGCAATTTGACTGCAGCCCTGAGGTTTTCAAGAAAATTAAGGAGCTCTATGAGACTCGCTATAACAAGAGGAGCTCTGAAGCTGCTCAGCCCCAGCCCCAGCAGCACCGCTCTGCTGAGGCACTCTCCATGCACACCAACTACGACCGCGGGAGCACCATTCCCCGGACTACTATCCCCACCACTAACATTGACTATCCTGCTCTCTATGGGAAATACCTTAATGGACTGGGGAGGTTGCCACCCAAAGTTGCAAAGCCAGAAGTTCGCCTGGTGAAACTTCCCTTCTACACGACCCTGGATGAGCTGTTGAAGCCCACAGAATTAGGTGAGTTTTCAACACCCTGCTGCATTCACGTTGGGCTAGGTCTGGGAGAGAAAGGTGATTCTGGATTAAGTGTCAGAAAAGAAACAGTGTTCACAAGGATCTGTGGCAAGAGAGAGGCTGATTACCAGGGTGGTGGGTGCCCTCCTCTCCCTGCGTTCCCCCCTTTGAGGAGAGTATTTCTGTCTGGTTTCCCCCCCCCTTGCCTTAGAACAGGTCTGTGGTTGCTTTGAGATGTAATTTGCAATCCTGTCTTGTTTGGCTGTAGCTTTCCCATCCTTCGTTGCAAATGCTGCTGTATTGCATGGTGCGGTCTTTCCCTGTGAATCAGAATCTGTATTCCATCTCTGTAACAGGGCAGTGGATTGATGAAAATCATTCCATGTTTGTATCACACCTGTGCTAAGCCAGTCTGCTGGCACATGCTACACTCATGCTGTTTTCCAGTGCTTAAAATACCTGACCTAAAGCCTCCTATGGATGAAAGAGGGTGGCACACACAGAAAAGGGTATTTCTGACTCATTTTCTGCTTGTTGTAGCTATTTGTGTCTGATGCTATGTATTTTGAGCTAGGAAAACTGGAAGAAGTGCTTTTTTACCCACCCTGGGGCCAGGAGACTGATTTTTCATCATTTTAGTTCTGAGAAACAAAGAGGATTGTCACCAGTGTTCCACAGAATGTTCTTGTAGCAAAGGCAGCGTATATGAAGGAGAAGCATCATTGTCAGTTGCACCTCAGCATCTCACAAAGCCAATTTGTTGGTATCAGGCTTCACTTCTAAATGAAGCTGGCACTTGGGAAGCTGCTCTGTCTTTGCTAAAAAAAAGGTTTGATGTGCATGTGGATTGGAGGGGAAAAAAAGATAGATGAAGGTGTGATTGTGCAGGTACAAAAGAAGGAGACTTGGGTAGTTTTCATCTCTCTTCATCAGAATATACATAGTTTTCATCTTCGTTTGGTAGCTTTAAATCTATTAATGCTATGACTGATAAAACAGTTGAGGGGTGATTGCTAAAATAGATTAAATGCTCTTTGGGGAAGGAGTTAGTTCAGCCTTAAACATGGGATGGTATTTGTTAGTCAGAAACACAAACGTAGCGTTTGGAAGGAAAACAAATTCTCAAGAGGCAGAACCATCTAGAGGCAGGAGGAGAGCCTGGATGTACTTACTGTGATTAACAGATTTTGTTAAACATTGACGTTAAATCTTCTGCACCAGATCAGAAGCAAGGTCTCATTATATTGAGTAGTTGACACCTCCCTCGGGTCAGCTTGTTCCCTGCAGCACATTTGACTGATTTTCCCTTCTGATGAGAGTGGTTTCTGTGTAATGGTGGGGGATTGCTGGTGAGGAGCTGGGCAGGAGCAGAGCCTTAGTCTTTGTCCCAGTCAATGTTTAGAACCTAACAGCATCTTCCAGACGCTTGTTTAATTTTCCCTGCCTGCTGACCTGCAATCCCTTCTGCGAGAGCCAACAGAATGAAGAAGCTACCTGTAACAGCTAGCTGCTGGAATAACTTCTACCTGAGGAGTTATGCTTGTGTGGGGCTCTGTTTAGTGTGGAAAGGTGATATAACAAACTGCTCTGAGGAAAATGAAGCATTTTTCCATATGGAAGCTGCAGCAGTTTATGCTTCATTGCCCAGGTTTCCTGTTCTGTGTCTGGACCAAGCATAAACTCCTTGTCAACCTCAGAAACTCGTAACGTGGAACTATCTGAAAGAGATTTAAGATTCCAGATCCACTTGGAGACACCCAGCTGCTGTTGTAGTACCCTAGGCCACAAAAAGAGCTATTTTAAGCAGATAACCATGGTGGGAGTAGGGGAAGCTTAATTTATATGTTCCAGACTTCAATTAGAAGCATCTTTCATAATGACAAAGCTCTCTTGCCTCTCCAAGATGATTGCCTTGAGATGAAAGGTGAGGTGGGTGATGCCTGATTTGGCCTGTAGGCAGAGCAGGTTCCCTGCAGAACTATCAAATTACTATTAGACTTGTAGACAACGGTGGCTTCAGCTAAAAGGAGATAAATTAGGTCCCTTGCAAGCCAGCTAATACCTCATATTTGGTAACTGCAGACACAGTTTCAGTCAGTGGAAACATTGAGTTTAGCGTTTGAGTTATCTACATGAAACAGCTTCTGCTGCAGCTTTCTGGTCAGGTCTGAGGGCTCCGACATGAAAGAATTTGTTCTAATTTACTGAAATTGCTGAAATTCTCTGGGGTGGATAAGGCTTAAAATTAAGATTGATCAGATACCTTCTTAGAGGGAATGAATCCTCACATCCCTCCTGCGCTGTATGTTAAGTAGCTGACAAGGGGAGTGTTTGTGTGAGCTCCCTGGTGTCTGAGCACCTCACTGATAAGTGTACGTGTGCTCTGGCACCTTTTGGGGCTGAAGCAGTGTGAACAGAGTTTTTGACAGTCACAGCGTGCTGTGAGGGCTTCTGAAAGGGGTTTTTGTTCTGCACATGAGCTGCGACAGCCCGTGTTCACTGTAGATACTGAGGCTTCTGGTCTTCTCCTGGAGGCATGCCAGAGAAGACCTTGGGGTACAGCTGCAGGAGCACAAGGCCATGTAGCCTGCAGGGTCCTGCTGCTGTCTCTGTACACAGCCTTGTTTGGGTTTCTCCCTCTGATAATACCTGTGGTGGTGTTGCTCTTCTCTCATGTCTAAGTCCTAAAACTGCTGCTTCAGCTCCCCATCCCTCCTCTGAAGCTGGACTTCAGCTGCTATAAACAGGGCCACTGATTTTGTGGCGAAGGCAACTGCCTTCCCCTGCTGCAGGAGCAAACACCGCTGCCATGAGCGAACTCCAGCAAATCACAGCAGAAGCACATGCTCGTGCTGATGACCATGTGTTGAATGAGTCCTTCACCACCTTACAAATATAAAAGATGCTGTACAGTTAACTTACAGAATCCCAGACTGGTTTGGCTTGAAGAGACCATAAAGCTCCTCCAGCTCCCACCCCTGCCACAGGCAGGGACCCCTTCCACTGGAGCAGCTTGCTCCAAGCCCCTGTGTCCAACCTGGCCTTGAACACTGCCAGGGATGGGGCAGCCACAGCTTCTCTGGGCACCCTGTGCCAGCGCCTCAGCACCCTCACAGGGAAGAGCTTCTGCCTAAGAGCTCAGCTCAGTCTCCCCTCTGGCAGGTTCAAGCCATTCCCTCTTGTCTTGTTGCTAAGTAGCTGCTGACAACACTAGCAGTCCAGTGGAAGATGTCCCTGTCCATGGCAGGGGGTGGAACTGAATGAGCTTTAAGGTCCTTTCTAACCCAGACCAGTCTGGAATTCTGTTTGATGCATCACAATATCGACCAAATTGCCTGATTTGCAATTCAGGAGTGGGCTAGTTTTGATATTGGAAAACTTTGCTGGAGAGGTGACAGTGAATGTACTGGGTACTTCATGGGCTTTGACTTCCATCAGCATCCCCCTCTGGTTCCCGTTGGTGCTGTGCTCAGAAGGCAGGCGCTGTTTCTGTTTTCATAAAGGAAGAGTGAGCTGATAGAGATGCAAAATAAAACACGAACAGCTTCACAGTTTTTCTAATCAGGTTTGCTTTGTCTTTGTGTAGCTGAACAGAGAAGAGCATGTCCATGGGCAGTTATTTAAGCAACAACATTAAAATGAGAGTCCTAGTGAAATGCTTTACTCCTCGCTGGTGTTTTGGTCAAGAAGACGTTTTGTTGGAAACTGGAATTAAATTAAAAGTCCATAACAAGACCTTAGTTTTTGTTCTGAAAGCCCTTTTGTGAGTTTAAAGCTGAATTACCAAGGGGAGGTGTCTGTAGTCAGTGAATGATTCTGTCACCGTGTCCTCTGAGATCTTAGAGCTGCTGAGGTTTTATCCTTCCTTCATCTCATCTTACCCATACACAGTAAAGTGCATTTCCGTACTTTGCAAATTTTGGCATATTGGCCTTGAATAAACTCACAGTTGAGGTGATGCAAAGAAGAACACCCAATTCTTGTTAAAAAGATAATAAAAAAAAAGCTGTTCTATCACCTCCCATTGGTTGTGTTTATCCTGTGATTTTCACCAGCTCAGGGTTTGACTTCAGCTGAAAACATGCTCCAAGAATTTAACGAAATGTGTCTAAATTGAATATAAGGTACTAAGTGGAAGTTGTAACATGAGTTTTGCACATATTAAGCTTCATTGTACCCATGTTAAATTCATTTGATCTTAAAATCATCAATGGATGAAAGGCTACGGTTAACACTGGGTTCTCAGAGGAGCATGTCCAAAAGCCACTGCTTAACACCCTGCTGCAAACACACCCTGAAAGTTGTGCATTTAAGTCATGTTTTTTCTCTTACAGCTGTTTTTTTTGATGTTTTTTGTCATACTAAGCTGATCTTCTTGTTATTTATTGCTGTTTCCTTTCTTTTCCAGAATCAGTCTGGTGAGTTCATGTTTTCATGTCATGCATAGGTCTCTTCTTTTGCTGCTTTGAGCTCTAGTGATGCCACTCATGGTTTGTGCTCATGGATTATTTGGGGGGAGGAAAAATAAAGCAGCTCCAGATCCACTGTGTATTAGTGTGCAAACTGGCAAAACAGGCAAGGAATGAATAAGCAAAACTGTAATCAGTAGTAGAGTTACCAAAATGCACAATGATCAGCGTTCAGCTCTATGGGAGAAAACAAGACTTGGGAATAAGCGTAGCTCAGAACATCAGCGTGCTTCACAGTGTGGGAAGAGCTGGATGTTATCAGTTTGATGTACAGTCTCTTTTTTTCTTCTCCAGTTCCACAGAATAATGAGAAGCTTCAGGAAAGTCCATGTATTTTTGCATTAACACCGAGACAAGTGGAGTTGATCAGAAATTCCAGGTACTTCTCGTTGGGTATTAACAGTGCAGGAAAACATTGCTGTGTGATTCCACAGTGTTCCCCCTGTGGAAGCTTTTGTTCTGTTCAAGGAAACAGTTTGTTTGAGGACATGAGCAGACAGGCCACTCCTCATGTAAAGCAAATAGCTTTGGGGGAGGTGGGAGGTCCAATTTCAGCCATCTAGGTCCTGACTTTTCACTTCTGCTCCTCTAATCTTGCCTTTGAATAGTACATTTGGGCAGGAAAAGTGCTGTGAAATGGTTGGTGACCCAGGTTGTCTGCTGAGCTTATGTTGTATTTGCACATTTTTCTTTGCCTCAAATGTTCAAAAGCTACCCATGTAACGGTGCCCCTGAAAGAAAGCTTCCTTGTTGTAAAGGCTGCTATAGTAACTGTGTAAGAAAACATCTTGCACCGGTTAGGATTTACCCTGACCTCTGTCACGATACAACTTTTGATTCAAACAATGAAGCACCCTAGAGATGTCAGTGCGGGCAGTGAGGCTTCCTCTTTCCCTGACGTGTCCGCTGGCCCTTGCTGTGGGGAGAGGACAATGACACAGAAGAGGTCCTCAAAACTAAGCAGAAAACCCTTAGGTATTTTTCTTCACAGTAATATCACCCTGTTATGGAGTGGGTGAAATACAATGTTTCTTGACTATTCAGTGCTTGATTACTGTTGTGATCCAGTAGGTCAACAGAGGCAGTGCAGGGGAAGCTGTTTGAAGACTTGACAGAAGGGAAATGATAAACCACAGAAGTCTTTAAAAGACTACAGCCTTTTGTCATCACTGATTCTTGGTGCTCTTTTCTCCATGTATTCAGATTTGTGAGAAAACTTAGAGCCAGTGCCACAAATACTTCACAGAAGGGCTTTCAGTGAGTCTTTGCTTGTCTCAGATGACCACTCAGCATCATATTCCCTGGCTTGTGGGTGGTATCCACATGTGTGCCCCCCAGCTCTAAAAGTGCCCAGTCAGCTCCTGTCTGTCAGCTGAATGGAGGTTCCATCCTTTCCACCCCCGTTGTCTAAACATTCTTATTAAAACTCTGAGTTGGAATGTGAAATGCTGTCAGAGGCAACTCAAGACTCATTTGGGGTTCTTATGCTTTGTGTCCTGGCAGAAATGAGTGTATAGTTTCACCTGTGTACAAAGCCCTGATAAAATACCCTTGTTCTGGGGTCTTTTGCTTTCCTGGTACCAGCTGAAATCCTGCTATGATCAGCACCACTGAATTCAGTGATATTGAGGTTGTTCTGCTTGTGCCACTGGTTCCTTTGTTTGCATGAGCAGCTTTAGCTGAATAATTGAACAAAGAGAGTCTTGAAAGAACACTCAGGTAGTCCTGACCTTAAGTCCTAGCTGTGTAAATGCTTCCAAATCACCAAAAGGATGCCAGGCAAATTGATGGCTTTCACCTGACACCATTCCAGGTTTGAAAACCCAGAAATAGGCTGCAGGATTGTGCATTGGGGCGGGGGGAATCATTACAGAAACACTGATATTTGTAGGGGAATTGTACTATTTAAATGAAATTCTGTAAAGTAATTCTTTAAAGGTTTATAAAAAAACTCACAACAGCCTAAAACTCTTGAGTCTAGCAGAAGCGACAGCTGAATTTGGTTGTTCTGTTGTTTTGTGGGTGTTGTTTTATTTTGGGGGTTTTGGCTCTTTATATAATGAATATGAAGTTTCTGTTTCTTCTGTCATTTACTAGGGAGCTGCAACCTGGTGTGAAATCAGTTCAGGTTGTGCTAAGGTATGTCTGAGCATGGGGCTGATTTAACATGAGATGCAGACCATGGGGGAGAGAATGTACTGCCTGAAGACAGGAACTTTCAGTGTGGCTTTAGCAGTTACAAAGATAACTTAAAATAAGCTGCTTGTTCACATGCCTGACACAAGCTTCTTAAACTCCTTTCTAACCTCTTCCTACATGTACTGCTTGAGTCAGTGCTGTGGTAGAAACCGGCAGTGTCCAAGGCTTTGCTACCCAGGTACGAAGCCTGCATCTGATCTGGGAGAGCCAAGTGGAACTGGCTTTGCTTTGGCCAGATGAGGGAGCATGGGTTGGTGTGGTGATGTGCAGAGGGTTTTGAACACGCAAACAGTGTGGGGATATTGAGAGCCGTGTTGTTTCTTTCCAGAATCTGTTACACAGACACCAGTTCTCCTCAGGAGGATCAGTACCCCCCAAACATTGCCGTGAAAGTGAACCACAGCTACTGCTCAGTGCCGGTAAGTCAGCTCAGCTCGGAGCTATGACACTGCAACTGTGGAAGGACTTGTGTCATTTAGAAGGGAATTGCTTTACTGATGAATGCAGACAAGAAGCCAGAGTATAAAAGTGCACTGCTTAGTTTAAAGCTAATTTTCTCGTGAATTAGATGTGGTGTTAATAAACTGTTCTTGCAAAAAGACTCGGTCCTTTTTACTTTGTGCTTGGCCTGATTGTTCAGTTCCCTTCTCCCCCTTCCTTGAACAGTGTTGGTGAGTAGAATTCAGTGATGCTGGTGAATAGATGGATCCATATAGAAGCATCTTGAGTAAAAAAAGAAATGTGTTTGTGTCTAAGTATATATTTAATCTTTCTGCCTTAGGGCTACTACCCATCAAACAAGCCTGGAGTGGAACCTAAAAGGCCCTGTCGTCCTATCAACCTCACCCATCTCATGTACTTGTCTGCAGCCACCAACCGCATCACGGTTACCTGGGGGAATTACGGGAAGGTACGTGTGGAAGGAGGTGGCACAGAACTTCCAAGTGCAGGAGAGCAGTCTCACTCACTCTTTCTCTCCCTGTCTCATTAGAGCTATTCTGTGGGGCTGTACTTGGTGCGACAGATGACCTCAGCAGAGCTGCTGCAGAGGTTGAAAACCATCGGGATCAAACACCCAGAGCTCTGCAAAGCCCTTGGTGAGTATGACTGCTCTGAGGTGGTGGCATGGGGGCTCAGCTGGCTGCCTGTCACACTGCAGCACTCCTGACAGCCAGGAAGCCTGCTAGAAACCTGCTTGGGAACAGCTGCCAAGTTTTCTGCAGTTTCTTCCCTCCAGTTGTCTAAAACACTTTTTGAGTTGAGCAGCTTGCTAAGCTCTGTGTCAGTCACATGAAATCACCCCAGATCTGTGTGTGAGCACAGTGCTCCTGCAGCTCATGGCTCTCCAGAAGCTCTGAATCACTGGAGCTGGATTTAGAATTTGTCCTCAGGTCGTATTGTGGTGAGTGCTGCTGAGAGCCTGTGTCCTCGTGACACAGTGGCTTCACGCCTTCACCTGAGCAATTATGAGCTGACAAATGCTACCACAGCACCTCAGCCTTGACCCACACTATTTCCAAAGGAGGTTTCTGGAGCAAGGGATCCTGGTGAAAATCTGCTGCCCCAAGCCCCTGTGAATCCTTGGGGCTGGCAGTGGAATTTCACCCCCAGCACTTTCATATGCCTTGAGAGCTTCAGAGAAGAGATTATCCCGAGAGATGCTTATCCTAAACCACCCAGGTAAATCATCGTGGTATGAGGCAAATGCAAACCATGACTGAAAATGAGGGGAAATGATCTTCCTAAGGTAGAATCTAACTTGCAGTTCATGAGGGTCTGGAGGTGTTCCAGTTACTTCCTGGTACCAGTGAGAGTGTTTTTACTATTTAGTTCTGGATCATGATGGTCTTTGAAAAATCCTCTTCAGATCATGGACAACTCTTACTGAGAATAAGAAACATAATCTTGAAGGTAAACATTAGTTCACTGGGCAGGAGATGATTTGGGGCATGTCCAGTCTTCAGGCACCTAACGCACGTTGTGGCACATGTTGCTGCTTCAGCCAAGCTTTTGATCTTCATATGCAGTGCAGCATTTTTGCAGTAGATGTGCCACACCAGTGTCTGTGGCAGTTTTGATCATGTTCAAGCACTCTGACAGTGAGCACTTAAGACATAAGAAATGAACATTTCCATGTGTTAAATACTTACCATCCTCCAAAGCCCAAGGCACTGAGCAGAGGCTGGCTTTTGAGTTGTCCTAAACTGCAGAGGATCCTCTCATTTTCTTCTGGCACTTCTTGAAACCAGGCTCAGTAGTTTGTGCTGTTCCCTTTAAAGTGAGCACTTGCAGGATGGCCTCCGAGTGTGGCAGACAGGCCTGAAAGCAGCTTTACACTCACTAACAAGTGTGTGCCCCTGGTCCTGCTGCGTTAGGTAAGTAACAGCTTTGGCTGGACTGTGAGGCAGAGACAAGTTGCATTTGCTGACCAGATAGAAACATCTTGTTTCAGTTCCTTTGGCCTGTTACTGCTTGGCAGTTGTTTGGACATCTGAAACTGGCAAGAACAAGTAGCTGTAAACTTTGCTTTTATAGCTCAGATCTGTTCTGCAAACAACTGTGTCTCATGTTCCTTGTTATAGCCCTCAGTACTCACTGAAGCTGCCCTCTGACTTTGGTTGTATCTTGGGGCTGACTCATCTTCTGCATATGCTTCTGTCGACTTTAGTATATAGGAAAAATTGTCTGACAGCAGAGATGTTACACCCATGGCTGTGGATCCCAAAGCAGTCTTAAGCCAGCTTGATTCTGCTCAGGAAGTCCTAGAAAATCCCATTTCTCCTTCCCATGTATCATAGTAATTGATGCACAGAGAATGCTCTCACAAAGAACTTAACAAAAAAATAAAGCTTGGATGAAAAGTCTCCTAATGTGAAGAAAACCCCACCAAATCTTGTAGTCTCGTGGGACTCTCACATCTGAGAAGCCACTCTCTAATTAGAGCTGCGTGTAGCAGAGCTGCGTGTAGCCTCATTGTCTGGAGACACTTGTTATGATCTGAAAAGGTCAAAAGAAATGGTTGACTTGCTCCAAAGAAAAATAGTGATGGAAGTGTCAGAGGCCCTCTCAGAAGCGGTGGCAGCAGCAGCTGCTCTTCAGGAGTTGTGCAGCAGTTTAAAGCTAATTTTCTGTGTTCATTCCTCACCGTGATGCGGGACCTGCACGTCTGCTGCTCTTCTTGATTTGCCTGCAGCTCCTCTGGGTTTTCCTTTCAGGATGCAGCAGCGGGGGCAGGATTCTCTCTACCTCCTTTCCTAACATCTGATTCTTTCCAAACATAGTGCTTGTGACTGGTTTTGCGTGGCTGCCTTGCTCTTTGAGCTCTCTGCTCCGGTACCTTTGGGTCTGTTTGTGGTTCCTGTGAAACAGTCTGCTGGAATAAATGAGCTGGCCAGTGTGTAAATTGAAGACTTGCAGCCTGGTAGTGCTAAGAGGAGGCTTGTTTGTATGATGGGATGTGGTTTCCTGTCAAGACTTAAAAACTTACAGAGGGGAGATTTAGATTAGATATTAGGAAGAAATTCTTCACTGTGAGGCCCCTGCCCAGAGAAGCTGTGGCTGCCCCATCCCTGGCAGTGCTCAAGGCCAGGTTGGACACGGGCTTGGAGCAAGCTGCTCCAGTGGAAGGGGTCCCTGCCCATGGCAGGGGTTGGAGCTGGAGGAGCTTTAAGGCCCCTTCAACCCAAACCAGGCTGGAATTCTATGATTTGGTTGTATCCATGTTTGCTCACTTTTGGGGGGGGGCTTTCTCTGAATTCCAAGGGGCTGGGGCAGGAAGTTAACCCCATCCTACTGCCACTGGTCTCTAGAAGGGAATAAAATTCATTGTGCTTATGCTAATGCACAGATAAGCCTAAAGTGACTTCCTTCCAGAAGTCTTGCCATGTGCTAGAGCTCTGTCTACTCTTTCCCTCCCTGTGGGAAGTCCAGGTATGTGGGTGTCTTAGTTCCTTCCAAGGGGACCAAAGTTATCTCCCAGTTGGCTCCCTTGGTATAATATTAACACAAAAAGGTGCCTCTGCAGCATGCTTTCCCCTGCTTACCCAGCCTGGAGTTTGTAAGAGGTAGAAAGATTGCTAAGAGGACATTACCTATGTAGCCAGCTGATAGTAAGCAGCCTCATCCCAGCACTGAAGTCCACTCAGTCTCTCAGTCTCTTCCATTTACTCTGCCTGGATGAGAGGCAGAACATGGAGAGCTGTCATTGGGGTAGGAGGGTCTGCAGGAAAACCTGAGCTTCCTGGCTGACCCAGAAGTGCTCCATGACCTGTGCCTGACCTGCCTCATCATGCTCGAGGTTTTCAGCTAGCCAAGCAGTGTCTGTGCTGAGCTCTGCAGGTTGCACAAGCCTGGTCCATCACAGCATCTTTCTGTCCCACCTATCTCTTTTCTCTGAGGTTGTCATCCATGGGGAAAATGCCTCCTGCACAGCCAAGGGCTGTTGGTGAGCTGCTCAACCTGTGCTACACCTTGTTTCCAAGGGTTTAAGTTTGCATCTGTTAAAATCTGTGCCCTCTACTCTTCCTGCAGTAAAAGAGAAGCTACGCTTGGACCCAGACAGCGAAATTGCCACTACAGGTGTTCGTGTCTCGCTTATCTGCCCGGTGAGTCTTTGCAATATGTTTAGTCTGGTTTTGTCAATAACCCCTTCTCTGTTGCCAGACCAGCTCTGCAGACTACTGAACCCTTTGTGCTTGATACTGAGAACTCTCTGGTGATGGCTTGGGTGGGTTTCATTGCTGATCTCCTGCTCTTTGCCCCAACAGCTGGTGAAGATGCGGCTGTCTGTGCCGTGCCGGGCAGAGACCTGTGCACATCTGCAGTGCTTTGATGCAGTCTTCTACCTACAGATGAATGAGAAAAAACCCACGTGGATGTGCCCTGTGTGTGACAAACCAGCACCCTACGACCAGTTAATAATTGATGGGTGAGCACACTTGCTTCTCTAGCCTTAACCTCTTTCTTTTCTCCACTGGATGCAGCACCATGTCTTGGTCTGTGCAGCTGATTGAAGTTCACCTCAAAACAGAGTTGGAAGCTTATTGTGCTGGCACAAATTGTCTCAGTGTGTTAGAGCAAGGCTTGACTGTCTGCTGCTTGTAATTTTTGGATTACATTATGTTGGGAATTAAGTATTCCCTGCCTCACTGTTCATCAGGCTGATGAACCCTCACAACCAGCCATCTTGGTTGACAGGTACTGAGATGCATGGAATAAACCACTTTAAAAGCGCCCAGTAAGATGATTTTTGATAGGAAATATTTTCCTGTTCTCTTGTTGGTGTGAGGTGCTCATCAGCTCACCAGCAATTCTTGGCACGCTCTACAATTGATTGGGGGATCTTCTCTGGCAGCTGTTAAACAGAATGTCCAGCCCTGGAGATGGAGGTACAAATGCAGGATTTGGGAATGTTTTTGTACAATCTGTTCCAGTACAATTTCTGTGGACATTGTGTCTATTTTAGTGCCAGGGATGGGAAGGATGCCTCAGTAGGAATTAATTCTGTGGTTTGTGTACCTGTAGGGCAAAAAAACAGGAGGCTCAGATACACTGGAGGGACAGAATTGAAATGCTTTGGATATATTGTCCAGGGTGGAGGTTTTGTGGATCCACCCTGGCTCCCTGGCCCTCCCTCTGGAGCCACCCAGTGGCTGAGCCTGTGCAGCAGGACCTTGGGGTGCACTGGGAGGGAACAGGCTTTTGGTACAAGACTCCCGGAGTGAAGGGCAGAGAATGAAATTTTGCCCCAGCCATGCTTTTGGGCCCGCTGCCTCCCTGCGTTGGGCAGCAGCACAGAGCCCCCCCAGCATCCCCGTTCTCAGTGTTCCAGTGAGGCAGTCCCTCTCTCTGCATGAGGGATCTTCTCTTTCTGCTGTCTCATTTTGAACACAGTTGGAGTAGTGCTGTAAAAGCAGAGGTAGGAATTGAAGCAAATCTTTTCCAGACAGCATTTGGGAAGAGTGAGGTGGGAGATGTACGTCCTAAACACTGCCAAGAGTTCTCTGGACTTGAATTGGGGAAAGGTTGTTTTGGACTTGGCACTCTGATTTACTGTCTGTATGGGAATGCTGCCTCCCGTATCTCTGGACTAGTTTGCTCTGTCTCTTTACCAGAGAGAAGGGCAGAGGGCTCACCATAAGCTTGCAGAGCTGGAATGCTACAGTTCAGCACTGCAGGAGCACTTTGGACACGATGCTCCTGTGTCTCAGTGAGGTTTGATACTGGAAAAGCTTGAAAATGCAGCTGTGTGCCAAGAGGATTACTCTGAAAACCAGGAGATTTCCCTCTCCCTGGTGCAGACCTGGTGGATGGAGTCCTAGATACAGACTGCAGAGCGAGCTGGGCTGGCAGCAGGGGCCACCTGAGGCAAGCCAGAAAGCTGGCAACGATGCTTGTCAGCTCCAGAAATATGGGTTCTTTAGAGAAGAGCACAATAAATTGCCTGGCTTTTGTCCAAGAGTAAAGGAAGGAACAAGGAGTGAATTAATGCCAACAGAAATCTCCACCCACCCCCCAGAAGAAGCTGCTTTGCCTCGGAGCTCAGAGAGCCTGGTTCCCAGGCTGGGACCACTGACATCCACAGTGGTGCAGCCAAGCAGAGAGCAGCCCTGAGGACTGGTGGAGCAAGATGCATGGTTCTTGTCTTCCTGGCTTGGATGATTGGCCTCTGATCCAGGTTCCCTCAAAAGCAGGAAGAGTTTAGAGGACTTGTTCAGGTGCACCTAGCTCCCTTGGCACACAGGAGCAGATGAGTCTCCACCTGGGTGGCATATTCCCAGGGCCAGGCTGGTATTCCTAGCATTGCTGTGTTTGTAGGTACTGATCTGATCCAGGACTTGTGGCTTTTTAGACTGTGTGAAGCAGCTTAGGCATAGAGATAACCTGTTTGCTTTGTCCTCTGGCCAACACCGACAGGAAAATCCAGTTCCTTTGAGGCCTCTAACAAGGCTGCTGAGACTGAAGGGGAAGGTGTGAGGGGCTGGACTGTGGAACCTCTACAGGTCAGCCATGCACATGTCCCTCCTGGCTGCGGAGGAGGTTGTCACTGGTGAAGGCTCAGTGGATTTCTTTGTGCTCAAGGCTGGATTTCAGTGTAGTTCCGTTGGATGAAGGACTTCCCTCCAAAGTAAGCTGGAGGGAACCCGGCAGTCTCAGCTGGAGGGCTGGTAGTCAAAAAAGGGGCACAGGCTCCAGAGGAGGTGAGTGGTTGGTCGAGTCTAAGCTCCTCTGGGCCTTGCCAGCTTGGTTGGAATTGCAGCCTTGGTGGTTGCTCAGCTGGGTGATGACAGGACCATCTGTGGAAACACGTTTCCTACTTGAGCTGGGAGAAAGCAGCAACTTTCTCCCACCACTGTGCTGCAAATAGTTCTCTGGAGCTTGTAAGATTTTTGCTACTTGTTCTCCTTCATACCAAAGGGAAATGCTCAGGCCCAGGAGTGCATAAGGCCTCGCAGAGCAGTGGTTCCAATAGCAGGTCCAAAGAAACACCCCAGGCGAGGGGTGGGACAGGTCAGAACGAAGCAAGGACCCAGTTTTGGAGGCACAGTGAGTGGAGGCTCACTCATTCTGGTCAGTGTCTTTGTCATTGGGGTGTTTTCAGTGGGGGGGACATGGGGTTTCTCGCTGTTGCAGGAGGCTGCATGTATTGTTTTGGTGGCTGCTGTGGAGGCTTTGGGAAGCAAAAGCGGGGAAGTACTGGAGTGCTTAGTTCTTAATGTAGGGTGTTTTGTCTTTGCTGATGCCTCGGTGTGAAGGTACCTGCACCAGCCCTAACCCGGCTCTAGATGGGGCATCAAGAAGCCTGGAATCTTCTGGAATACTGAGTAAAGGGGCAAAACTGTCTTCTAATGGCATATAATGAAACTGTTAGTTCCTGGGTCAGGTTCGTTGTCAGAAGGGACTGGGGAGTGGTTTATGGGAATAAATCAAGCCCTTGACTCAAGGTCCATCTGCTGGGCAGCCTTCTGCTAACACCACATTTCTATTCAATTTAGGGCCGCTGAAGGTGAAGATCCCGTTTAAGGGCCATCACTAAATGCATTCTGATTGCCTCAAGCTTACTAAATGGCATCTTTCCTCTTGTCCAGGCTCCTCTCAAAGATCCTGACAGAATGTGAAGATGCGGATGAAATCGAGTACCTGGTAGATGGCTCTTGGTGTCCCATCAGAGCTGAGAAGGAGCGGAGCTGCAGCCCTCAGTGTCCCATATTAGTTCTAGGTGAGCATCTCTAGGGGTAAAGACTTGAAATTACTGTAGGAAACGTGCACTGCAGAACTGGAGTTCCCCAGCTGGCTGAGAGGGTGGTCAAACCTCGAAGAGGCTTCCTGGGAAGGAGGTCGATCCTCAAGCCTCTCCTTGTTTGAGGCATTCAGACAATGCCTTTAATAACACGATTTAGCTCTTGGTCAGGCAGTTGGACTGGGTGATGGTTGTAGCTCCCAGCTGACCCAGTCACTGCATGGCTGTGGGAGGTGGAGCGTGTGGGAGCAGACCCTCAGCTGATGTGAGGTGTCTCAGTGTGCCCTCTCTTCCCCCTCCTCAGGTTCCTCTGATGTGAATGGGCTGTTGCCCACCCCCAACACTAACGGTGAGAACGGTAAGGCCACTGCAGACGTTGTGGATTTAACACTGGACAGCTCCTCCTCGGAGGAAGAGGAGGAGGAAGATGAGGAAGAGGATGACGATGATGAGGGACCCCAACCAAAACGACGCTGCTCTTATGAGAAAGGTTTAGTTTCTGCCTGCTGACTGCGGAAGCAGCTCTCAATCTCAGAACGGACAGACTTGAATACTCTGGTGCTTATTAAACTGGAGGAGGGGGATAGCGTCCTTTCCCATCTCATCTCCCTTCCTCTCTCATCTCCTTTGACCTTCCTATTCCAAATTAATCATTAAAACGAGAGAAAAAGAAAACAAAAAGCAAACAACAACAAAAAAAAAGAAAAAAAGAAAAAACAAAAAAACAAACCATTGAGCTGCTGCTTGGTTGGAAAGAAATGACCCCACTCAAAGCCTGATCCTGAACTGGAGTCGGAAGCAAGGAAGGAAAGTGTCTTCAGCCAGGCAGTCGGAATGCACAGCTCCACCTGCACGTCGCCAGGACACCCAACTCCGTGCATCTCCAAAGCTGTGTGCATTTTAATGTCTTGTTAAATAACCATTCCTTAATTAATCTAAAGGGGTTTGCTGGACGTGTGAGTCCGGGGTGGGGCGGGAGGGGGGAGCCAGGGCGGGTGGGCGAGGGAGGTTTGTATAACCCAGGAGGCTTAGAAGGGATTTGTAGGGGTTGGGGATGGGGGGCATGGGGTGAAAGGGGAGAGACGTACAATTGGAATCGCACTGTTCTAGATAGGAGCTCCAGCAGCTCTGCACCTCATGTAAAGAGACATGGTTTGAATCCTTTTAAGCTAATCCGAAGGTAAACGTAGAAATTGTGCGTAGTGCATCGCTTTAGTTGAGCAGAAGCCATGGGGAGGGGTGGGGAGGGGCTCGAACCACAAATCTGTTGTATTTTTGAAGTGCAATAACTTGGTGTTTTTGAAGACTTAAAAAGGGCTGCACATTCCCTTTTCGTTGAGGCGGCTTCGGTTCTGGAGGTGGTGGCAGTGACCTGCAGGACAGCCGGACGCCTGGCACGTGAGGAGGAGCAGGGCAGGGGGGCGAGGGCCTTCGACAAAGGTGCCAGGTGGGGGAATCTCAGTTTCTAGCCAACTACCTCGGTAAACTCCAATTCAGGTTTCTTTCAGTCACGACCCAGTGCACGGCCCGGCACCGGCGCTGCTGGCGGCACTCTTGGCGCAGGGTGTTGAGGACAGAGCCGAGGGACGATGCGGACGGCGCGTTAACAGCCTCTGGGCTTTCCACTTCTCTGTTCAAGACTTTGGTCCCAGACCCAAAAGCTACTGCTATGCTCTTGGTGGCAAAACGTCGTTACTTTGAGTTTGCAAACGGGGAACCTAGGGAACTTTTGTAATTAACTTGACACCTCTGAACTCTCTTTTGCTTTGGACCTCGCTGGCTTTTCTCAGTGCAGAGGGAGAAACACTGGAAGCAGGATGGGTGGCACGCAGCAGCCGTGTCCCCATGCCCAGCACCAGGGCTGCCAGCACATCATCATCTTGTGCTGCTGCGTGGAAACCTCTGGGTGAGAGGTGCCATGGGGAGCTGCTGTTCCCGGCTGCCAGCACGGTCCCAACCCTCCTGCCTCCCCTTAGGCCAAAACAGCACCAAACCCAACCCTGTGCTTGGGGAAAAGCAAAGCACGGCCAATGTCACCTCACCAGAAAAGCCACCGAGGTCCCCCCAGAGCGATGCGGATTCCTTGTAGTGATGCCCCAAAGTACAGAACTGATTCTCTAAGTGCTGCCGAGCAGGAAGCTTCCACTGGGGGGTTTGGGAGCTTCCTCTCCCGCTCTCTCCCAGGGCTCATCCTTGCTCCCAGCCCTTCCTGCCCAGCTCCGTTTCGTCTCCTCAAACAAAAACTTGAAGGCAAAAGGGGCTTGGGGGGTGTTGAACCCCCCCGATGTCCCCTCAGCATCCTGCGGGCGCGTTGTGGCCGGGGGCAGCCGCACCACGAGCCCCCCCCCAGCGACGCTCTCGCTTGTTCACCGTGGACTTTCCTTTTCCTTCCCTCTTTCTCTTCTGTTTGTGTCTGGAGCAATACGTTGTCAGGGTTCAGCGGGGTGGGCAGGGGGTTAAAGCAAGCGTGGGTAGGGCTCGGAGCGTTGGGGTTCGCTGGCTGAAGTTCGGTGGCTCGGTCCCTGGCTACACGGTAGCTTTAGAGTCCACTTTTTGTTCCTAATATTTGTGTTCTAATTTAATTGCTTCTTACATTTTCCAGGCCAAGCCACTGGTTGGAAACATCATGGTTGTGTTACTGCTTTTTGTGTTTGAGTTGGCCAGCTCTTCCTGTACATATGTTTGTTTGCTTATATCCTGTTTCTTCCCCCCCCCTTTTTTTTTTGGTGTTTTTTTCTTTTTGTAAAGAGAAGACAAAAAAAAAGAAAAAAAAAAGAAAAAAAAAGAAAAAATACAAAAAGAAAATTATTTTTCTTTCCCTCAGTACACATTCTTCAAAGTTCAAATTATAGTGTTTGTTAAATAAAAAGAAAGATTTACATTTAACGCGGTGTTGCCTTTGGCTCAATGGGCTTTCCGCTCACCCCAAACCCAGCTCCGTGGGGGGTTATGGATGCAGTGGGTGCAGGAGGAGCGGCGGTGGCCCCACGGGCACCTCGGTGCCACTTTGAATTCCTCCACCTCCATTGGATTAATCATTTTATTGATGAGGCTTAGAGGTCCAAATCCCGCTAAAGCCGCGGCTTTGCCAGATAAACACCCGCTTTGGAGGCAGCCCGTTTGTGAAAACACAATTAGCCGAGGCTCTAATCTGCACTAATTACCGCCCGGGCCCGCTGCGCTCCCCACGCGCCACCGGGACCATGGGGGACGCGGGGCCCGGGCAGCAGCGCCCGCCCGGGGCCTCCTTCACCATCGAGTACCTGCTGTCAGCGCAGGGGGACCCGGGGCTCAGCCCGGAGCCCCCCGGCCGCAGCCCCCCAGCACCTCCCCGGCCCCCAGCAGAGCCCGGGGACAAACCAGCGCAGTCCTACATCGCCCTCATCTCCACCGCCATCCTCTCCTCGCCCGAGAAGAAGCTGCTGCTCTCCGACATCTACCAGTGGATCATGGACAACTACCCCTACTTCAAGAACAAGGTGAGTGCCTCCCAGACCCGTTCTCCTGGGGTTTGGTAGGGTGGTGATGGGTCAGGATGGGCAAGCGGGGGGCTGCGCCCACAGCGCTGGGTTTCACTCACCCCCTCTCCAACGAGCCCCATCCGGCATCCCCATCCTGGGCTGGTTCCCGTGTGCGGGTCGGGCGCCGTTCACTCTGGTGCCTACTCCTTGGCTGATGGCCCCCTCGGCGCAGGAGAAGAGCTGGCGCAACAGCGTCCGCCACAACCTCTCCCTGAACGAGTGCTTCGTCAAGGCCGGGCGCAGCGACAACGGCAAAGGGCACTTCTGGGCCATCCACCCGGCCAACCTGGAGGACTTCGCCAAAGGGGACTACCACCGCCGGCGCGCCCGGCGCCGCGTCCGCAGGTCAGCGGGGCCATGGGGGCCCATGGGGACCGGGGGGGGGGGTTCTGGGGGCTCAGGGCTGACCCGGCTGCTCTGCTTCCCCCTCACAGGGTGAACGTCGGCTTCTACCACCCCTATGCCCTGTACGGCTGCTGCTGCCCCTGGTGCCCCCCGGCACGCCCCGTGCCCCCCCTGGCCCTGCCGCCTGCCCCCCAACGCAGCCGCTGGGGATGGGGACGGGTTCCTGCTCCCTGGGGTCCCCTCCTGCCCCGGGCCCCTTTCCTGTAGCCCCCACCCTGCTTTGGGGGTTGGAGGCAGGGGAAGCCCTGATGTGACCCCCCCAAACCATGGCAGGGATGCTCTGGATGTTGCCTGCCCCGTGTGTGTGTGTCCCCCATCACCCCAAGGGGTCTCCAGGGCCCCCCCTTGGGCCCCCACTGGGATGAAGCCTGAGCCCGGGGTTCACATCCCAAAGAGGGACCACCCCCCCGAATGGACCTGCTGCCTCATGTCCCCCATCATGGAGGGGTCCCTTCCACCCCCCCTGCCAGCACAGGCACATATGGGGCTTAGACCCACCAGGCCCCTGCCCTAATTATTCCCTCGCTAATTGCCCCTGACGCCCCTAATGAGCCTCGCGGCTCCCAGGTGTTAAGTGGCATTAGGGCGTCTCGCTGGGGAAGGCGACTTGGCCACTAAATCCCGGGAGATAAAACCCCAAAGCCCTTCGCGCTCCGAGAACTAGGAAGCTTATGACACACGGTAATCCCTAACCCTGGATGGGTCCTGGGGGGGGGCAAAGGGGGGGTCCGGGGTGATGGGGCTCGCTTGGGAATGGGGGGGTTGGATCTTGGGGTCCCCTCTCCATGCCTCAGTTTCCCCACTTACAGCCGGTCCCAACACCCATGGGGGGGGTGAACCCCCCAAACCCCATCCCCGAAGGCTCCTTAACCCGCTGCCATCTGGGGTGTTTGCCCTGGTCCTAATCTGTGCCCCCCCATCACACCTTAGTCCCCCACCAGCAGCTTAATGGGGGGAGATGGGGAGGGGGGTCCACCCCCCCATCCTGCACCACCACTTTACAGCGTGGGGGGGGTTGTACCCATTGGGGACACTGAGGAACAGCACCAGGAATGACCCCCCCATACCCCACCCCAAATCGGCCTTAAAGCCCCCCAAAAACAGAAATACCCCCCAAGAAGCTTCTTCCCTCCCCCCCAAACATCACCACAACCGCTCGCTCGGGTGTTTTTAATATATAGTTTATTTTCTTTTCTGTTTTTAAAGCCCCCCCCCGAAAAAAAAAAAAAAGTGCAATTTTTATTATTTTAATTTTTATCTTTTTTTGTGTTTTTTTGTTGTATTTCTTTTTCCTCCTCTCCCACACTTTATAAAGAGCTATCAAAGTTACAATCTATGGAATGTCTTTTCTGTGCTTGTTTGAATATAGATAGATTTCATTCTCCGTCTCTCTCCTCACACCTTTCGAAACCCCCCCCCCCCCCCAAAAAAAAGAGACCACAAAAGTAGTTTTTACACATAAAAACCGCTGCAACCTTGCGAGTGCTTTCAATAGAGAAATCTCTTTGAATAATTATCTTTATAGATAGAAAGACGCAGAGAAATAAAAACCCCAAAAAACACAAAAAGGGGAGGAAAAGAAGAAACCAAGAAGTGGCCCCGGCTCGAGCATCCTCGCTTGGGCTCACCTGGCCCCGTCCCCCCCCTTTGCCCCAGGAGCCCTTCCAGCTCTCGCTGTGTGTGTGTATATATATATATATATATAATCACTATAAAACACAACGTTTGCTACAGTTTGCCCCCCCCATTCAAAACGGTTCCTCTTTATTAAATAAACCTTTATAATCGAAAATATAAATAAATCCGAGCTCCGATAGAACTTTTATTTGCTTTTAAATACCCAAATCAGGTGGGTTTTTATGGGGGGGACGCACACACACACAACCACACACACGCACGCACTGAGTGGTGGGTGCTGAATGGGGATTGAAGGGGGGGCATCAGCCCTTTACCCTGCAGAACCAGCCCCCCCCACCTCAATCACAGGGACCCCCCCTTAGCCCCACTTTGGGGGTTACAAGCCCCCAGTGGGGCTCAATGCAGCATCTTTACACTGGGGGGTGGAAAGGGATGAACCCCCCCCCCCAAAGCCTCCCCATTGCCACCAATACACCCCAAACCCATCACTCGGGGGGCGATGGACATGACCCCCCCCCCCAGTCTTACACTGGGGCAAGGGGAGGTTTTAGAGGGTTTTTTACTGCTTTTGTACCAAAAAGCTTCATTTTCCCTCTGTTTTCCCTCATTAATGGGATGGGAAGGGGGGGGTCAGCCAGGGCTTGGGAACTTCTAATGCATTTTGGTTTATTCCTGGTTTTTCCCGGCCGGGCCTAACTCAGCAGGATCTTTGGCAACACTTTTATCACGACCTGAATTGCAGAAATCAACCCAAACTCAACCAAAATCAACCCAAAGGAAACCACGACAAGGAACGGGGGCGATGGGACGGGACAAACCAGCGGGGTTTGGGGGGGTTTTGCCTGTTTTCTATCGTTTAGTGCAAACTGAAGCTGTGCTCAAGTGCTGCAGCGAGGGCTGGGCTGGGGGGGGCACGGGGCTGTCCCAAGCCTGGGGACATCCTTGCTGTGGGAATCCTGAGAATAAACCTCTCCTCTTCCTTTTCTTTTTTTGCCATTTTATCTGGTTTTTTTACCCCTTTTTTCTTCCCCTTATTTTTTCTCCCTTATTTTCAGCCCACTTTCTCTATCCCACCCCCTTTATTATTCCCCTTTCTTTCTTCACTCCCTCCCACCAATTTCTTTTTCCCCTTCTTTTACTCCTTTCCGATCCCTCTTTGGGCTGGGGCAGCCTGGAGAAGAGAAGGCTCCTGAAGGGGAGACCTTAGAGCAGCTCCAGTGCCTAAAGGGGCTGCAGGAAACCTGGAGAGGGGCTTGGGACAAGGGCCTGTAGGGACAGGCCAAGGGGAATGGCTTGAACCTGCCCGAGGGGAGACTGAGCTGAGCTCTTAGGCAGAAGCTCTTCCCTGTGAGGGTGCTGAGGCGCTGGCACAGGGTGCCCAGAGAAGCTGTGGCTGCCCCATCCCTGGCAGTGCTCAAGGCCAGGTTGGACACAGGGGCTTGGAGCAAGCTGCTCCAGTGGAAGGGGTCCCTGCCCGTGGCTTTAGATGAGCTTTAAGGCCCCTTCCACCCTAAACCATTGAGTTTCTGATTTCCCTCTTTATTCCCCCCCTTACTCCTTTCTCCCCTCTCCCATTCCCAGCCCTGCCCAGGGAGCCGCAGGTTCACCCCTCCAGTGCCCCAAACCCCACAAACTTCCAGGGCTCCTTTGAGGACCGGGAATAGAGGGGGGGGGCAATGAAAACTCAACACAACCTAGAGCAGAGATACCACAACAAGGACGAGAAAGAACCTCGAGTCAGTGTCTATTTACAATGCCACGCTGGGGTTTCTCTTTGCATATGCCAGGGTTAGCCAGTGCTAGGCAGAGGAAAGAGGGGGAATGGGGGGGGTTACCTGCGCCCCTTCCCAAGGGATGGGATGCCTGGGTCTGAATTTGGAGGGGATGCAAAGCCCAGGGAGCATCGGGTCCTAAACCCCCCCCAGTGTCCAGAGCGATGCCTGGCCTAGCACTGGCTATGGAACATGGAAGGGAGAGAACAGAATAAACTGATCATAAAGGGGAGCACAGGACCAGCACAGAGCCCCCAGCACCCCCGGCATTCCCACCCGGAATCCGAGCATCCGTGGCCTTCCTGCTGTGGGAATGAGCCCCGTTCCTGCCATCCCACCACTGGGGCTCCATCAACTGAGCGCTGGGGTTCTGCCGATGGGGTTTTTTTGTTGGTTTTTCTCTTTCTTTGTTAAATATATATATATATATACACATTATTTTTTTTCTTACAAAAATAAATTTAGGCTTTTTTTTTAATAATTTTTTTTTTTCCGTAGAAGTTTTTTTTTTGTTTTTTTTTTCTTTTTTTTTCACTTGTAAACATCTTTCGCTTTTGCTTTTTAAATTAAGATAAAGTGAGCTCAAAGTACCCGTTCCATCGCAAAGTGCTAAGACTTCTTTGTATTTATTTTTTTTTTTCTGGTTTATTGTGGTTTTTTATCATGGTTGGTTTTTTTTTTTAATTCTCCTTTTTTTTTAATTCTTTTTATTGCTTTTTTTTTGTGTGTTTTGCTTTGTTTTTATTTCTGCATTAAATAAAACATCCGTCTCTCCCCCAGCCCCACCACTCAGCCCTCCCCCCCAGCACACGCTCCCGTCTCACTCCCTCTCCAAAATACATTCGGCCAATAAAACCTGCTCTTTGCTGATTTAAAAGTAAAAACACCAAAAAAACCCAAGGAAATAAAACCAAAAAAATAAAAGGAAGAGAATCTAAAAAGTGCTTTTTTTTCTTTTTTAAATAAAAGGGCTTAAAAATCTCTTTTTTTTTCTTTTCTGTTTCATTTCATTTAAAAATGTGCATTTAGAAAACAGGTGACCAGCTGAAAGGTGCCTTTTCTCATCGTCCTCCGCTAACCCCAAGGGGTCTTTACCCGCCTCTCAAGCCATAGAGCATCTCTATATATATATATATATTTACTTTTTGGGAAGGGGGGGCTGGGGGAGCGGGGGGTGCAGCTCCTCACCCCCCTCCCTGCCCAAAGGCCTCCTGCCCCCTCAAGGGAGACCTCAAATAACCTTTTCCAACAGGAATTGCCCATTTTTAGGCGCTTTCGGGGCTCTGCTGTGCCGGCCGCTGCCCAAAAACCACTGCGGAGATTGGGGGGGGGGCAGAGCTGGAGCCCCCCCAAACCCAGCCCCATCGGTGCTGGGAAGGGGCCGGTGGGATCCATCCGGTGCCGGGTCCATCTCGGCTCCTTTCCGGGAGCACAGGGACCCCCTGGGATGGGTGCACCCTCGGTGGTGGCACTGGCATGGGGACGGTGTCGTCACCTTGGGGACCCCCAACACTGGATGTCCCCAACATAGGGTGTCCCCAGCCTTGGGTACCCCCAACATTGGATGTCCCCAGTGTGAGGTGTCCCCAACATGGGGTTTGCTCACCTTGGGTACCCCCAACATTGGATGTCCCCAGTGTCAGGTGTCCCCAACATAGGGTGTCCCCAGCCTTGGGTACCCTCAACATGGAGTGTCCCCAACATGGGGTGCCCTCACCTTGGGTATCCCCAACACTGGATGCCCCCAGCCTTGGGTGCCCCCACCCCAACAATGGGTGTCCCCATCACAGGGTGTCCCCGCACCCCACGTCCCACCCTGCAAACTCCCGCTCGGCCCTCACATGATTGGGCAAATTTCAGGCAATTTTCGGCAATTTTCTCCCCGGTGCCCATCCCAGCTTCCCACGGGGCTGCCGGGGCCGACCCTGAGCCCTCACCCCAAAACCCTGACCCCATGTCCCTGGATGCTGCCCCGGGATGCAGCAGCCCCCGCGGGGGCTCTGACTTCCCATGGAGCAGAGTGGGGAAGGCCCCGCTCCCGGCCCCTGACCGAGCCCTTCCTCTCCTACCACCTCTTTTTTTTTTTGCTATTTTTGCTTTTTTTTTCCTTAAATAGATCTCTCTGAAATAAGTATTTTTTTTATTATTATTATTATTTTTTCTTCTCTCTTTTTAACGTGTGTTTGGACACAAAATAAAGCTTTGGATTTACATGGAAGCTCTTTTCCATGCGACAGAGCCACTTTCCATCCCCGCCCCGTGCTGCCTAGCGCCTGCCTTTCCAAGTGAAGGTCCTTGGCTACTGAGGGATCCTCGGGGGAGCCCTGCTTACGATGGGAAGATTGGAAACGTAAAATCTATTCTTTTTTTTTCTTTTTTCCCCTCTTTTTTTTTTTTTTCCTTTTTTTTCTGTTTTTCTTAAAAAAAAAAGGGAGAGAAACATCTCTAAAGAGAAAAAAAAAAAACCGGGAGGAAAAGTTGCTAACTAGAAGGGGTTGTTTTCTGGTTTTTCTTGTGATGCTTTCTGCTATGTTTTTGGTTTAGGAGAGTCCTTGCGTGTTACCCTCAGCCGACCCTCCTGCTACATTCAATCCCGACGCTTCGGTAGCCGAATGCTCCTCAAAGTGCTGCTGCTCGGGGCCGTTCCTCTGCTGGGTGTCCTCTGATTCCTGACTCTCCCCCCCCGTTGGGAAGCTCCCATCCTCGGCGCTCCCCGGCGGGGTGCTGGGCAGAGCCCCCGCATCCCTCACCCGGGGCTTGCGGCCCCTGCGGGATGGAATCCCGTTGCATCCATCTTTTTTAAGGTGCCTGTGCAAGTGGTCGGAGCGGACGAAAGTCTTGAAGCAGCTCTCGCACTGGTAGGGCCGCAGGCCGGTGTGCACGCGCATGTGGTTCTTCAAGTCGTAGTTGTGAGCGAAGGCGGCGCCGCATTGCTGGCACAAGTACGGCTTCTCCCCCGTGTGCTTCCGCATGTGAACCTTCAGCTTGTCCTGCCTGGGGGGGACACAAAGGACAGGGAGGGGAGGGCAGGTCAGCTGCGGGGGGGCTGCCTCCGTCCCCAGGTGCTGGGACAGGGCTGAGCATCGCCTGGGGCAGGGTCAGAGCTTTAAGAGCATCAAGTCCACCCGTTCCCAGCAGTGCCAAGGCCACCCCTAACCCATGGCACTGAGGGTGTGTGAACCCTTGCAGGGCCGGTGCCTGCAGCCCTGCCCTGGGCAGCCTGTTCCAATGCCTGAGCACCCTCTGGGGCAGGAATTGTTCCTCAGCTCCATCTAAACCTGCCCTGGTGCAGCTTGAGGCCGGTTCCTCTTGTCCCATCCCTTGTTCCTTGGGAGCAGAGCCCAGCCCCTCCTGGCTCCATCCTCCTCTCAGGCACTTGTAGGGAGCCATCAGGTCCCCCCTGAGCCTTCTCTTCTCCATCTGAACCCCCCAGGTCCCTCAGCCCTTCCCCATCACAATTGGGCTCCAGGCCCTGCTCCAGCTCCATTGCCCTTCTCTGGCCCCATCCAGCCCCTCAATGTCCAAGCATGGGGACGGGAGCTCCGCTCAGGCCAGGGGAGGGCCCTTGCAGCAGCCGGGCTGGAGGCCAAGGGAGCCCCGTGAGCAGGAAAACCCCATCAGGGCCGGGGCGCGTGGCCCCGCCGGGGTCCGCACGGGGAGCCCAGGTCCCTGCTATGGAGCCACCGCTGCCGCCAGCCATGGGGCCCAACCCCAGCGGCACGAGGAGCCCAGGGAGCCCCAAACCTGCAGGGAAGGATTAAAGGCTCAGGACGCATCCACCTCCAGGCTGAGCACCGCTGGGGAGCAGCGCGGTGCACACCAGAACAGCTTGTAACCCCCTATGGAACCCTGTAAAACCTTATCGCTGTTATAACACCAGCCATCATCAGCGCCGTCGGCGCTCCTCCCACTGCCAACACAGAGGAACCAGGAAGCAGAAGTCAGTGAGAACCGACGGGCTCCGGTCCTCAGCCAGCAAGGGGGTGGCAGGGAACACCCCACATCAAACAGCCTTCACCCCAAGGTGTCCCTGCCCATGGCAGGGGTTGGAACTGGATGAGCTCCAAGGTCCCTTCCACCCCAAACCATCCCATGTTCCTGTACGCAGCGTTTTTAATGGCACAGGGAAGAGATGTTTTCAAGCTGTCACCCGATGGGATGAGGATGGAGAGTACACAGAAGGAATGCAAAGGGGTGTAATAGGGCTGATGGAGTGAGGTTTGCTCCCACTCTGATATTACAGGCTCTGAGATGAGGCTTCAAGCCCCAAGTGCTGGGGGAGAAGCAGCAAAAAGCAACCCATGGACACCACTGCTGAGCAGGGGAGACCTGGACCAGAGGCCTGAGCTGGCCCCACTCTGCTGTGCCCCATGGCAAGGCTGCCCTGGGGGGGGACAGGGCAGAGGGAGCAGGAAACCAGCTGCAGCCTCATGGAGGGTGCTCCACAAGCAGTGTGACCGCTCATGTCCCTGTGTCCCCATCAGGCTCCCCCGTGCCCAAATGCCAGCTGCAGGGAGAAGCAGGGGGAGGAATTGTGGCTGGAAAATGGCACAGCCCTGCTGTGGGATGAAGGGAGACAGCGCTTCCCCCCTGTTCTCCACCGGGAGGCCAAGGGGAGCAGGCCCCCGTCCCGTACCCGCAGCAGTCCGGGTTGGAAGAGGCTCATCCAGTTCCACCCTTGGCAATGAGCAGGGACCTCTTCAACCAGATCAGGCTGCCCAGAACCGCATCCCCTTGGCCATGGGGCTGGTGCTGCCCCACCACTGCCCTGTCCCCAGGCCTCCCCCCCTCCTCCAGGGACCCCGCAGCGTTCCCACCCCCTCCAGCTCCTCCATCGCAGCAGGACCCGGTCCCGCTCAGGTGCTCGGGCCCAGCAGCGGGCAGGGAGGTGCCGCGTGGCAGGGCCGGGTGCTGGCATCCTGCCCCCGCCATTATCTGCATTCCTCAGCTCCCCAGCGTGGGGCTGGGTGCGGCCATGGCCACGCTGTGCACTGGGGAGGGGGCCGGCAGCGCCGGGGGGGGGACAGGACACGGCCCCATCGGCTTCACACTGGAGCTGCTCGCTGCACCCATGGGCTGCCCCATGGACCCCAGTGCTGGTGCTGGCAGGGGTGCAGTCGGATGTCTCAAGGGGAGGAACACCCCAAGGACGAGCAGCCCACAGAGCCCCTCAGCAGGGATGGGGGACACACCAGGGTGGGACCCCAGCCCTGGCTCAGCCCCGGCAGCCACAGAGGGCAGCGAGGAGGCGGCGCTGGGACGCGTGGACTCGAGTGAACCGCAGGGATTTGAACAATATCCCCTTTCTTCAGCGCTCCCGTGGTGCACGGAGGGGAGGAGCGCAGGAACCCTGATTAGAAACAGGGCTGAGGAGAACGCCCCCAGGGAGCTGAACCACGGGGGTTTGTGCTGCTCGGGGCCACCATCGCCCCAAGCATCACGGTTGGCTGAGACTGGACATGAGCAGCGCGGGGTCCGACCTCTTCCCAACCCCACTGCCAGGGCTTCAAACTGCCCAGCTCCTGCCTCAACCCTGGGCACCCCAGCCACGATGGACACACCAAGGGCTGCAGTTCTGTTTCATCAACCCTGTTTGTTATTCAGCCTTTGCAGAAGCCCAGGGCTGGCCAGGCTTTCAGCAGACACCAGCAATTCAGGACCCTGGGATGCTGCGGCAATGGCCATCAAGCCAGGCCCCTTGAGACACCTCAAGAGCCAGGCATCCAAACTGCTCCCCTGGCCTTCACTTGCCCGAGCAGGCAAAGTAAAACTGCCCCAGCTCACCGCAGGGGAAGCCAGGAGCCGGTGGTGCCTGGGGCAGCCCCGGTCCCCCCGCGGCCGCCCGCTCCTTACCTGGTGAATCGGACTTTGCAGATGTTGCACTCGTAGGGCTTCTCGCCGGTGTGGGTGCGGATGTGGCGCGGCAGCTTGCCCGCTCCTTGGATCACCTTCTCGCAGATGGGGCACTTCTGGAATGCTTTGGCCCTGATCTTCTTCTCCACCTTCTGGGACCAGGAGGGGTAGACATCGCCCTCGTTCGAACTGCCGAAGTATTTCAAGTAATAATCCATGACCCCATCGTCATCCTTGCGGTCGTCCTCCCCGAGCTGCTGCCTCCCCACGGAATTCATCATCTGCTGCAGCAGGGCGCTCGCAGCCATCCCATCCACCTCCCTTCCATCATCCTCCGTCTCCGCTCCAGCAGGAACGAAGCTGGGGGAGTCACCGGCTTCCTGCTGGTCCAGAGGGCCCCCCGGGGTGCCCTCCTCTTCTCCCGGCGTGGCCAGGCCACGGCTGCTGTAATGTCCATTCTGAGAAGGGGAAAACATGGAGCCAGGCGCCGCCTCCTCCTCCTCTCTGTCCAGCCACATGGCTGGGTTGCTGTCAGGATCACAGTCATTCGCCTTTGGTCTTTCGTTTAGGGGGGCTTGCGAGTACAAGTCCATGCCATTGCAGTCCGGCTCCTCCTCCTCCTCTTGGCCTCGGAAGTTCAGTCTCTGAAGGTCTCTCAACTCTGGGTTGGTCCACGGAAAGCTGCCTTGATGGCCATTGACGGGGTTGCTCTGGAAGAACTCCAGGTACTCTTTTGCTCTGAGATGGTTCCTTTGATCAATTTGATCTACTGTATCCATCTGGTCATTTTTGGCCAGAATCTTCCTGTCCAGGAGATCCGTGCAAACATCCCTCACCGCCGGGATCTCCAGCAGGGTGGCGGCGTTGAGGATGTCGTTGACGTTTGAAGTGCTGACGGTAAGGGTCGCGGTGTAAGCGAACTCCAGCAGAGCCGACAAGGCGTCTGCGCTCACAAAGTCTATCTCATACACGTTTTGCTGGTCCACCACTAACCCTGAGGTGAAGAGCTTCTTGAAGTACTGGCTGCAGGCCGCCAGGACGGAGCGGTGGGTGGGGAACTCCTGGCCTTCCACCAGGATGACCACGTCGCACAACAGCCCGTTGTTTCTCTGCTCATTGAGGCTGCTGAGGATGTCGCTGCTGTGATCGGGGAACGGGATCCCGATGGGGCCGTCCACGCCACCCGCCATCTTCGATGCAAAAGGCTACGGGAGAAGAAGGAAGCTCCGTGAGTCACGGGAGGCATCACAGCACATGGGCAAAGCCCTCGAGGCAGAGCAGGGACCTGTCTGCCGATGCCAACGTGCATCAGGTACCAGCTCCTCTCCACATCCTCCTCTAAGACATCATCCTCGGCAGCAGGTGAGGATGGATCCATGCTCACCTCCGCTCTGGGAAGGAGGAGAAGTGCAGCCCAGATGCTCTCAAGCATCAGGGAGAAGAACTGAATGAGCACGGATCTGGGTCAGAGCAAGCAAGCCTCGGCAAGGACCAGGGTTAACGCAGCCATGCTGCATCTGGACCGAGCTGGCAAGGCATGCCTGGCCTTGGGCTACAATGGCTTGAGCCTCATCAGTCAAGTCGAGGAGTATTTCCCAATCCCACCACTTCTACTGGGAAGGTTCCTTGCTCATTCAGCCCTGCTCTGCACAGCCGAACTCATGACAGTCACAGCATCACAGACTGGTTTGTGCTGGAAGGGACCTTAAAGCTCCTCCAGCTCCAACCCCTGCCACAGGCAGGGACCCCTTCCACTGGAGCAGCTTGCTCCAAGCCCCTGTGTCCAGCCTGGCCTTGAGCACTGCCAGGGATGGGGCATCACCAGGAAAACCATTCCCATCACTTGTTCCTGGGGTCCCCTTGTCTGCAGGCAGGGCACTGGTGACGAGCATCCTTTGGGAAGGGCCCAGCAGCAAGCTCAGTGCTCCAGGGCACTGGTGTGCAGAACAGGGGAGCACCAACCAGCCCAGCCTGAGCTTTACAGAGACCAGCACCAGCCCCCATCTCAGAAGGCTCCAGCAGAAGCCGCAGTTCTTTCCAATGCCCAGGGTTTCACAGAATCATAGAATAGTCAGGGTTGGAAAGGACCTTAAGATCATCCAGTTCCAATCCCCCGCCATGGGCAGGGACACCTCACACTAAACCATGGCACCCAAGGCCTCATCCAACCTGGCCTTGAACACTGCCAGGGATGGAGCATTCACAACCTCCCTGGGCAACCCATTCCAGTGCCTCAGCACCCTCACAGGAAAGAATTTCCCCCTTATATCCAATCTAAACTTCCCCTGTTTCAGTTTTAACCCATTACCCCTTGTCCTATCACTGCAGTCCCTAATGAAGAGTCCATCCCCAGCATCCCTTTTTGTTTTGGATGGGAAAAGACAACCAAGTCCTTCCCAAGTTTGCTTGGGAAAAGACACCCAAGTCACTCCTGACCCGCCAGCACAGCAGAAATGGATCCACGTGGCTTTGAACACATCCTCTCTTCAAAGGCTGAGGAAGCCAGAGCGAATTGAGCAGCTCCATTCCAAAGGGATCCCCCTTCGCTGGGAGAAGGGCACTGGGGCGAGCACTGGCAAGAGCAAAACCTGCCCAGCTTCACCACTCTGCTGCCCACAAGACCCTCAACTTTGCCCAGGCCCTGTCTCCTGCTTCCTACAATGGGGAATGATGCTCTCCTGCTCTCCCCCTCAGTCAACCCCCGTACTCCTTGCAGCAGAGATGCCGCCTGCCTTTCCATCTCTGTTTCACCACCACCACCCCAAGCACTGGGATCAAGAGAAGACACAAGGCATCTTGGCACCGTGCAAGCATCAACGTCCCCGGTTTACAGATGGGGAAACCGAGGCACGGAGGGAAGCAGCTGCCCCCGTGTGATGGGGGGGAACGGGACGGGTGAGTCAGGAGCACATCCAGAACCCAAGTAATTACACAGGAAGCGACTCCCAGCGCCGCGTTACAGAGCTGGCAACCAGGTTACAAAACAACAGTGGCTTCCAACACATGCGGCCCCCCCATCCCGAGCCCATTCCCCAGGAGCTCTTTGTGTTTCCTCATTCTGTAAAAGCTTCGTTAATCCAAGAGGAGGGGAAAATCCCAAACACCGAAGGGATTTCTGCACCTTCTTCTGGGCAAAGAGGACACGGGAGAGGGCAGTTCTGAGCCTGTGACGCCGCTCTGAGGGACAGCCCTGAACATGAACACCAGTGATGTACAAAGCAAATGTGCCGGGGGTTCAGGGTGGGACGAGCCCCAGGAGCGGGGCTGGATGCACAAGTCCTGCCATGAAGCCCAAGCATGGAAGCAAGGCAGCTTCCCAGGATGCCCACAGCAAGGACACCGGCTCCAGAGCTGGTTCCCAGGCTCCTGCAGCAGCAGGGGCTGGATTCAGGGCTCGTGGCTCACAGGGTTTTAGGATAAGGAGCCCTCACCAGGGAGGAAAGGGCTGAGCACAGCCTGGGGACCAGGAAAGCTCCAAACTCGGGCACCAGCTTGAGGGGTGACCTTGGGCAAGGTCACTGCATCTCTGCACCCATAGCGGGGTCCAAGGGACCCCTCCTGGCCTCTCCAGTGGCTGGGATACCACGGGGGAAGCCTCCACTGCCTCCTCCCCAGCAGGACAGCCCCAGGGCTCCCTGAACCCCCCTGATCTGAGCCACCACAGCACATCCCTCCCTTGAACAATGGGTCTGACACCTCTGCCCACCCCCCAAATGCTTCCTGGCCCTGGAAAGAACCCGAGAGCCTCCCTCCCCCTGCTTCCCCCTCTGAATTGAGATGATTTACAAAGCATTCGGGCAACACAGCCGAGCTCCATCACCCACCCAGGCGGGCCCTAGGGACTGCTGGGACCTGGGGGAGCAGGTCAGGCCCCCCCAGGCGAGCCATGGGGCTGGCAGGAGCAGCGGGACAGTGTGGGAACGGCGGCAGGGTCATGGGACTGCCGGGGGCTGGCATGGGAAGTGGTACAAGTTTGCAGCTCATTCTCCAAGCACAACACATCCTTTGTGTCCCTCATGGGGACTGCGGTGGCGAGGGGTGGGACGGGCGGCCCTGAGCCCCCCAGGGATGGGTTCAGCACCTGGAATGCTTGAGGCACAGAGGCTGGGCCCTTCAAATCACAGCCAAATCACTTGTCAAGGGGCTGAATGGACGGGGTGTCAAAGCCTGGGGATTAACAGGAGACAGAGCCTTCCACCTCCACAGGTTCACAGAGCAGGCACAGGGCGCAGCAGTGCAATGAGATGGGCAAAATCCCTTGGGAAAGGTCCCGATGGCCGGGTGACAGTGAGGAAAGCCATGGGCACAACAGCCAGCCAGCTCCTGACCTTGGCAAGGGTGAGGTCTGAATGGGCCACCAAGGGGGGCTCCCACTCCTGCCCTGGATCTCCCACCAGGCAGCTCTTTCCCCCCTGCACACCCTCTGCTCACCCAGCAGCATCACACACCCGCTGTCCCAGACTGAGTGTCTCTGCAGGGTCACAAAGAGCCACATTTCACCCCAAAGTGCCCGTGTTTGAGGTGCCTGGAGCTCGCCCTCCCATAGAACCCACGGCAGCGGAGGGAGCACCGTGCATATAAAACACAGCCTGGTTGAAAGAGGGAGTTTACAGCAACGCCAGAGCTCTCTATGTATTTATCAACCTGATTTACAAGCCTGGCCTAACTGCCCAGCTAATTCGCCTTTCAGCAGTGCTGAGCCCGCTCTGCCTTTCCAAGACACCAACCCAAGCGAGCTTTGGCTGCTCCTGGCTCCAAAGCCCAGACTCCAGGCAGGAGAAGCTGCCGTTGCGTTGTGCAAGCAGTGGTGCAGAACCCCGAGATGCTGCTCAAGGCATCCCCGGCTGTCCCGCATCCAACCCGGTCCACACTGGGGCCGCCTCCTGTTTGATGCTGCTCCTCAGAGCTTAAAAGTTCTTTCCCTAAGCTCAAGTTATCCCCTTGCTCCTTCCCAACCCATCAGAGGAACTGCAGCAGAGCAGAACGGAGCGAACCGAAACCCCTGTGCATGCACTCGCCCCCAGCGGGATGTCCCCCCACCGCTCTCCTCCAGGAGCTGTGGAATGTGACATTTACATTCAAATGAGACGACCACATTAAGATGGGATCGCAACCAAAAGCGCTGACAAAACGGTGCTTAATTACCAGTTTTCCATGTAACCTTAGTGGTTCGGTTGGGGGTTTTTTCCTTCTCTCTTTGCACTGGGCAAGCCAGGGAACCTGAGCAGCTCGGAAGGGCTCGGAACCGCGCAGGTATCGGGTGAAGAGCTGAGTCACATCTGCTGAGCGGGGAACAGGGAACGTTTTCAATGTGCTCTTCATCTGGAAGAGATCCCGAAGCCCTTTACAAAGAGCAGAGCTCTCCTCTCCTCGCAGGTGCCACCAGCTCCAGCAGCACAGAGGAGAAGCTGCAGCAGTAACAGGCACCCGCTTGGGGCAGGAAGGGAAGAATTATCCTCGCCTTTTCCACTGAGCATCAGGCAAAATGGCTTGAGGGCACCTCTACAATCCCCAGCACGAGGCTTCCTGGGAGGAACTGCCTTTTGGGCTACAGCACGTGGTTCTTTGTACACTATACGGTACAGTACAGGGGTTATTGCAGCTCAAAGGTACCCAAGGAACGGGGATCACAAGCTGCTGTGCCCCGTTTCTTGGAGGAAACGTGCATATGAGAGCCAGGGCAGGCTCTGCACAAACCCTGCTATGTGCTGGAAAAGGATTATTAAAATAATGTTGCTATAGATGTATCTATATATATGTACAAAAAAAAAGGCAGTGGTTTGCTGCCCAAGGCCCAAACATTATCCCAGCCCTCACTCACCACCGACCGGAGAAATGGGCATTTTTTCCCTATGAATAGCTCACCCCAATTACAGGTCACACAACGCAAGCCCTTGTGTCTCTTCACTTTATATTTAGGGAGCGATCATCCCAGTTCCCCTCTTCCCTTCTCCCAGCTGCACGGCCACATGGGCAAGCCTGGATCCCTCGAGATAAACGGCAGCTCTCCGGCCATTTGGAGCGTGAGCCATCGTCTCTGCTGACACCAAGCCCTGCAACAGCTCAAGGACAAGCCCGAGCAGGTCTCCCTCTGCCCAGGATCCACCCTAAACTATGCAGAGGCCTGGGGAAACACACCTAGCACACAGCAGCACAAAGCCGGCAAGGTGGGAAGGTGGTGGTAGGCAGGAGGAAACGAAGGAGGGTGTTTTGCCTGCCTGGGAGAAGTCACTGTTTCAACCACTCCATGGTGCTATTAGAATTCAACTGCTCTCTAAAGGAATGTGCTGTCGGCAGCTTGGTGCTAACCCAGCTGAGTTACGTGGACCTGCAGAAGATTCATGGTCCTGAGAGGAAGGCCCTGCGTACCAACAGAAGCCAATGGCCTTGGGTGGCAAAATTAGGATCAAATAAAAGTGATTTGGTTTGGGTTTTTTATTAAATCTAAAACATTGACAGGGCAATGGGAAGATCTCTTCTGCGTTTAGCAGGTAACAGCCATCAACAGCTAAGAGGGGACTGCAGCTTCCTTATGTCTTGACTGGACATCACACGTGGGGTAGAACACCAGAGGACACACATGGCATGACCAAGATCATGCAGCTATTGAAGTGAAGAGATCAGAGCAGAGCAAGCATCCTGCAAATATCTGTGGGCTCCTGGTGGACAATATGGCTCTGTTTTCCAGTCCCTCCAGCTCCCACAGCTCCCACAGCTCCTTGTCTGAAGGCCCTGACTCTGGGAAGCATCATGTTCCCTTCATTCAGTGCAGGGTCTTCTGTTACCACAGCTCCTATCACTGGATTCACAACGTGAAGGCTCGTCTAAGGAGCAAGAGTGGCCACATCACGAGGATTCAGTCAGCTCCTGAGCACACAACCACCCAAGCTACCACTCCACTGCCTCCTCAAAGCATTTACTTCTGATGCCCCCACAGTTCAGAGCTCTCCGAGCATCCCGCTTCCCAATGCCTCAAATTGCACATGAAGAGAAGCAACCGGGATGCTGGGACAGTCTGAAGGCAGCCCCGGCTCCTCAGGGCCAGCACCCAGCCTTCGTTTCAGTCCAACTTGATGAACTCGCACCACTATCAGGTAAGCAAACCAGCTGGGGCTTCCCTTGCCACTGCCAGCTCAGACCTGCCAGGGAGGTTTGCCTCTCCCTGCTGTCTAGAAAGAAATGCCTGGGCAGCGTAGGAAGCTCCAGCGCAGTGAACCTGCGTTCTAGGACTGCTTCATCCCAAGAGCTGCTCAAGGTAAAAGCAAATCTACCCCAAAACCCCGCAGTACCATCAACCGCCCTTCCTTCAACCACTACATCCTTCATGTTAGCAGAGCCAAAGCGCTTTACGAGCCCTAGACGGACCAGGAAGAAACACCTAACACACGACAGAAACAACAATCTCCAGGCAGGACGCACAAGGGTTTAGCAGCACAGAAGTTCAGGCAGGAAAGGAGAATCCCACATCCTGCAACTGCTGCCAAGGGAACTCTGGTAGGAAGAATATCTGGTAATTGCTCCCACTGAAGTCTGGAACCGAACGCCCCTCAGACCCTCAACGAGCATCCTGGGAACTTTGATGACCACAAGTAATACAGAACCTTGGTTTTCCTTCGTCTTTAAAGCAGAGTAATGACACTAATCCCCTCCCACAGCAGAGCACCTCGGAGGCAGGAGCGGTGCCAAGAGCTGGCTTTGCCTTGGTGCTCTCCTCTCCCGGGGCTGGCCAAGAGGGGCAGATCTGCAGAGCCGGTGGAGCAAGGACAGCCCTTCCCCAGCCGCCAGCCAGCCATTTCCTCGCTCGGGAACGGCTGCATCCTGTGCTCATTCACAGCAGCCTGCGTAGGTCTGATATATTTGGCAGAGAATCTAAATTGGGCTGGAAGAGCTGCATTGAAGAATTCGGATGGAGAAGTCCCAAGCCCACGTTACAGCGGCGTTTCGGCTTGGATACCGAATCAGGCTACCCCAAGGCTCTCATCAAGGTGACACATCCCCTGGACAGACAGGTTCTGGGGTAACTCAGCATCTCCCTGCTCCTGCAGGCAGACCACGGTATCCCTAAGAGCCCAATTTAAATGTTACACCTCAGCCCATTCATAATCATGTCAGTATTCAGATGTGCCCCTCTCCCGGCCCTCACCACTGTGTCAGCAGTGGGAAGAAGCAGAGAGCTTCACCAAGGCACCTCAGTGGTGGAACAGCGACCGGCTGTGCCAAGCCACAACCTGGAATTGGGACTCCTAAATCCTGCCACTGAGGCAGGCTGTAAAGCAGGCAGTGGAAGAGATGGTGCTGCCCCACCAGAGCAGGGAGAGAACCACTGCCAAGGTGGAGCTGGTCCCTCTGGTGCTGCTTAAGGAGATGCTGCAGGTCTGGGACTCCTCAGAGCACGAGAGGAAATCACGAGGGACACAGCTACAGAACGCACCAGGAGGAAAGGGTTTATTTGCTCCTCATGCTCTCAAATGGCTCGCGTGCAAGTGCTTGCCCAGAAGAGGACAATGCCAGATGCGGCTTTTTCCTAGCAGCATGGGCAGCGAGAGGACAAGTGCTGCTGAGGGAAATGCTCACAACCACCCCCTTCAACACCAAATCCACCAAACAAGTACCCCTTTGCCAATCCCACCCCCGTTTCTCTCCCTGCTTCCCCATTAAGCCGATCCAGGCTCCAACCTCTAAGCCCAACACAGTGCTGAGAGCATTACTACTGCTAACTAAGAGAGTTAAACCAGAATCAGCAAAGGCAGAGTCACCTTCACAGCGCCCAGGGCTCCCTGAGTGTCCTGAATACCTGGAGAGAGGCAGCTCTCAGGATGAGGGCTATGGAATCATGGAATGGTTTGGGTTGGAAGGGACCTGCAACGCTCATCCAGTCCAACCGCCTGCAATGAGCAAGGACATGTTCAACTAGACCAGGCTGTCCAGAACCACATCCAACCTGGCCAGGGATGGAGCATCCACCACCTCTCTGGGCAACCTATACCAGTGTTTTACCACCCTCTGTAAAGACGTCTTTCCGCACATCCAGCCTGAACATCTCCTTTATGAAGGAAGAATCTAATGGCTGTGGCTCTCACCCAGACCTCCTGCTATTCACCACCCAGATACGTCACAGCGTGGCTCCACCTCTGAAGATGCTCATAGCTCACTTCCACAACAAAGAAACCAGACGAGGGACCAAGCACCACGCTCTGCAACGCTGCAGATCCCCACTGCCGGGCAGGCATTTCCTTCCAGGGCCCCGCACAGTGCACGGGGAAGTTGGGTTTCGGCTGCAGCACCAACTCCTGGCAACCCCCAGAAGCAGCCTTAGCCCTTGAGAGAGCAGGGCTCTGCTCCTACGTCACCCTGCCTGTGCCAGAGCGGGCCCAGCACAGCCAAAGAGCCTCCCCGAGCTGCCACCCCCCAAAGCCACCCACTCTCCATGGCTGAGAGCAGCCACCAGGCCGGCCCGAGACCTCAGTGATGTTGCAAGGTGAGCTTGAACTGGTTACTCCACCCAGACCTCCGTGCCAATTTGCTCCTTTGTCATCAGAGACCGCAGTTAATCCAGCAGGAATGTGCCTTGCTTCGAGCCTGTGCAGTCACGGATCCAAGGACCCCGTGTGTTTCCCTTGCAGGGGTTTACTTGCGTGCTAGAAGCCTCCCCAGCACCGGCACCATAGATGTGCCTTGGTGTTTCTCAGCACCATGGTCCCGGGTCCACTGAATGAGGTCTGTGTGCTGGGACGGTCACCAACAGCCACCAGGGAACAGGAACGTCTCCATGCCAAGAAACAAGCCACCATCCACTGAGAAGGCCAAGAGCCACGCAGTGACCCTCAGACCCACCTTCACTCAGCAGGGCTCGCAGATGCCTTCACTCCAGTCGCTCCTCTCCTCAGCTGAGCCACTGCAGCCTACACAGGCAGCCCCCAGCCTGCTGAGAGCATCCCTGACTGCCTTATGGGCCGGGAGGGCCACCCCTGTGTTAATGGAAGCTGCTTGTTCTGCTGCTGGAACAAACCCTTCCAAAGCCAAGCCCAAGCGTTCCCACACGCCTCACGCTGCAGCCCTCCAATGGGGCTTTCTCCCACATAGCTCCACTGCTGGCGTACAGCAACAGAGCAGCTCCCTGCAAACCCACAGCGGGGGGCTCAGGGGATCCTGCACAGCACCAAGCCCTTCGCTGCTCAGCCCCGGGTTCTCCTCAGTGCTGCAGAAAGCCCCAAACGTTGGATGCAGAGGGAGAAAGAGAACACAAGATACGAACCCGTGCGCTGTTCTTGCCTGTGAGCACAGTGCATACGGAAAGGGGAGGTTTCTTCTCCAACTCAAAAGCCCCATAATGCTGAAGGCCCCAAGATCCACGTAGGAATAAGCTGCCAGTGTTGCAGAAAGGCAGAATTTGGCCCCTTTGCCAAAGGGGGGGCTTGTCCTGAAGAAGCAAAGCTGCCACCAGCACTGACCCAAAGCACGAGGGCTGCAGGGCCACCAGCACATCCCAGTCACCATGGCTGGATGAAAACAAGAGCTTCTGCAGGCATTTACAGACCCTCAGAGGCAGAGAGGCCAAATCCTGCACCCACCGCTCCAGCCAAACTCCTTCCAAGTCACCACCAGCCCTTTCCCTGATGAAGGCCAACAGTAACTGCCCCATCCCTTCACAATCCCCTCCCCTGTGACAGCTCCTCTCCGTCTCCTACGCACAGGGCGCCATGAGAACCTCTCAACCCCAAATATCCCATTCCAGCAGCACCAGCACCCATCCGCTTCCCCGCACACCCTGCTTTCCACCCCAGCTGAGCCCCAAACCCACACATCCCTCTCCCACTGCACTGCCATGTCAGGTTCCCCTTTGCAGCCTCCACGTCATCCTCCCCCTCTGACAGCCCTGATGCTTCCTGCTTCGCTCCCCCTGCCCTCAGCTTTGGAGGTCCAGCACCAACCCAACTGCCTCAAACCGCACCTCAAAGACCCCTTTTCTACACCAGGAAGGGTGAGACAAAAAGGCCAAAGAAATGAAGGCCAAGATTGGAGTTTCCTGACGAAGCAGAGCGCACCGGGCAGGGCAGTCCCTCAGGTAATTCCTAGCTGGTGGATAAACAGACAGCTCGGCTTGCCATTCTCGGCTCCACACGACGTGCAACAGCGAATCCCAGTAGCAAACACGCCACATGCTTCATCCCCACCAACGCTGTCCCGCCATGGAGCTCTTTTCCTCCCCTCCTCAGCACACAACCGGGATGCAGGGAGGGAACGCTGAACCGGTACCGCGTGTACCCTGCCTGTTGGGGCAAGAGGCTCCGGGTAACCAGAGAGCAGCAACCTGTACCTACAAGCCTACCCTCGATGCTTGCCCAGCTCTGTGCTGGGCAGGCAGTCAAGCAAACAGGAAAGAAGAGATATCTACTGACTGGTTTCCAGTTTGCTGGTGGGAATTAGGGAGGTGCATGAACCAGGAAGGAAACAGGGCACACAACTGGAGTTTAACAACAGGCAACAAGGAGTTAAAACGCAGCACTGGGACGCTTGGAGCATCCTCTGCTATGACACTAAGCGGGGCAGCAGCGCTTCCAAAAGCGAGGAGAGGATCTCCCGTGGTTTTGATGGGCATTACAGAGCTGCAGGGGTGGGAAGGGGATGGAAAATGGTCCGGAGAGTGCAAGGAAACCACCCACAAGCACCAGCACCGTGTGCTTTGCACCCAGGGAGGGGACGCAGCTTCGAAGAGCTCCATGGAAAGTATCTGAGACAGCAAAGCTGTCTCCAGGGAGGTCCCGCTCCCAACACTCCTCCTGGATGCACGCTCAAAGGGGTCGGCGTCAGAGAGCCGGTGCTTGCCAGGGGATCTGCGGCTCATCTCAGCCCCGTGGCCTTGGCTCCCACCTGCACCGCGGGGCAGCTCGCAGCAGTTTCCAGTTTCTCACACCTTGTCACATTCAGAGGGGGCTCTGCTCTTGAGAGCTTCCCTCCACCTGCAGCCCAGGGCTGCTGCCCGCAGGCTCACAGGGCGTTTGCAAGCGCCACAGGGGGAAGGAGCCCCACCGCCGGCTGAGGCACCAACCCGCTTTAGTTCCGTGTGCAGGCTCTGCTACAGGAGCCGGCAGTGACACCGGGGAGGCAGGGAAACTGAAACTGGGCACGGAGGGAAGACGATCCGGCCGCGGAGCTGGGCGAGAAACAATTGTCCCTGGATACTCGCAGAGGATCCCGACGCTCGTCTGACCTCGTTTACTCCCGCTCTGACGTCCTGCCAGAGCTCCTCTGGGACCGGCGGGATGCTCCAGGCACAGGTATTGGGACAGACGGATGGGGAACCAGCACCGAGCACAGCCACACACCAGTATGGATCAAAGGGTCATGGGACTGGGTACAAACGTTTCCCGTCATCCCAGAGCCCGCCTGCCTTTCCCCCTTTCCCTGAGTTTTTCCCCATCAAAAGGCTTTTAATTACAGACTGAAACCAGACTCTTCAAATTTGAGGTTAAGGCTGGTTGAGAGCACAGTTAAGAGCAACAATTTATTGCTCTGACTATATAAGATAACAAGTAGAATCCTAATTGTTTGCCACAGGAGTCCTCTCTTTCCACAAACACAGCATCCCAACACTGGGAAAAACCCCTCAAGTGTCAGTTTTAATCAAGATTAAACCAAGTTCTCAGAGTTTAGGCTCCATCTCAAGCGCAGACATTTCCCAGCCCCAATTTTTAGGTTTGAGGAATTGGCTTTTTAGGTTGGGGACCTGATTTTAAAGAGTTAAACCCAAGCACTAAACAACGTCTGGAGTAAGACAGGCAGTGCACACAACCCATCACAGAGCCTTGGGATCAGCATAAATTTCTTCCCTGATTTGCGTCCCAAGCCGACATCCAGGTTCTCACGCTGGGAAAACAACTTTACCTTTCAATTCTGCTGTCAAAGCCCCAAAACACAAAAGCAAGCCCATTGTCTTCACCGAGCCAAGGCAATTCCACCCAGCACCTCTTCACCTTGTGAAGCCCACGACACGCATCAAACCCACCGCCACAACACAAGGAGCATATAATAAAGCAAGCAAGCAGAAAACCCAAGTGTTAACAAGAGTTGCAGGCCAGCAGAAAGTGAAGGACTCCTTTCCTTCACCGAGTTTCTGAAGAGCTCATGCCTTGCAAAACCCTCCCCAAGTTACTAACGCAATTAAGGCTTGGTGGAAAAATCCCACCATCTCCCCGCTGTTTTGGTTGCGCCTCTTCACTCCCTCTTTCACCAGAACAAGCCTAAACAGGGGCCAGGATGAATATTAAACACGACGGCTCCTCTCGAATAAACGGCTCCGTTTCTGTCTCCCCTCTTTTTGCTTTTGAAGCTGTTGCAACACAACATCTCCAGCAACCCACCAGACCTAAACCAGCCCAGCTCACCCCAACCAGCCTCCAGAAGGGGCCACACGCTGCCACTTCCAACCAGGACCAGCAGAAACAACCCCAAATAAAACATTGCCTCCAGAGAAAGAAAGGAAAAGGCAACTTCAGAAAGCAGTGGGATGACCTTTTCGCCCGCTTCAGTCCTCATTGGGTTGTAAATTCTTCCAGACAGAGACCTCCTCTGCCCGTGTCTATAAAGCACTTTATGTATGAGTTATGGTTTCGATAGCAGAGACGTTTAACAGCACAGGGCTAATGTTGAGCTCAGACCAGCAGCAAACTCTTCCCAAGAGTCCTTGAGCTGAAACTGCTCTTGCCCTGCATGTAAGAGGTGCTCCAGGAGCTGAGGCTGCGGGTGCACACCAGGAGCTGTTGCTTTCAGCACGGGAACGCTGGGGTTTAGAAGCACTGGTAAAGAGGAAGTCCCAGGTGCCAGGAGTCCCGTTCCATGTTCAGGTCCAAGGGTTTTCCCTGCACACAGCCCTTAACCCAAGCTGCAAGCAACCTAACTCCGCTTCCACACCATCAGCCCCTTTGCCTCCTGCCACCAGCCTCACAGGGCGCTGCGGGCTGGAAGGGACCTTCAAAGGGACCCAGTCCAACCCCCTGCAAGGAGCAGGGACATCATCAACTCTCAGGCTGCTCAGAGGCTGCAGCCCTCCGGGGGAAGCCAGCAGGAACCTCCAGCTCTGCTGCGGGGGCTCAGCACAGGAGCTGCGGATACCTTAAGCACGATCCCAAGTCCCAACCTGTCACCTCCAACTCAAGAGCCAGGGCACCAGGAACTGTCCCAGCCGTGGCCAAGGCGAGGCCTCCCCGCAGGCTGCGGGTGGGTGATGCCTCCCCTCATGTCCCCCTCCGCCAGCCGCGGCCACTGCGCAGCTCCGGGGTTGGTTTTACCCGGCAGAGCCCCCCCAGGGCCCGGCCTCCAGCTCCCAGGGCCGCAGCCACCGAGGGGAGGGGAGGGGAGAGGGGGGATTATCTCTGCGAACCGCGCGGCCTCCAGCCCCCCCCCCAGCGCTGGGGGTGGGTGCGGAGCCGGCCGGGGGCCGATAAGGAACGGCAGAAAACCACCGCGAACTGCGCGGAGCGGAGCCGGGGCAGCGCGGCCGGGCCCACCCCCACCGCGGGAGGGGGAGGGGGGGGAAACGACCTTGGGGTGCTCGGGGCCGGGGAAGGGGGGGGGGGTGAGGAGCGGCCTTGCTCACCGGCCGCACGCCCCGGGGGACCCCACCCTGCAGCCCGGGTGCCCCCCCTCCTCCGCCGGGCCGGGCCGGGTGCCCCCCCCCCGCGGGCCCACAGGGAGCCTTGGCCGGGCGCCACGACCCCACCCCTTCCCCCGGGCGGGCCGCGGCCATGGAGGCCGGGCGGGGGGCGCCGAGCCGAGGTCCCTGCCCCGCGGCCGCCGCCCGAGCCCCCCCCTCCCCTCGCTGTGCCGGGTCAGGGCCGCGGTCCCGCCCGCGGAGCAGCGCAGGCCCCGCCGCGCTTGTCCTCGGCCACCCCGCACCGCGCGCAGCCGCCGCCATTGGGCAGGGCCAACGGGTACGTGGGGGGGGGGGGTGAGGGGGGGGTGGGGGTGCGCGGGGTGGAGGGCGCGCCCCAATTGGCCCCGCCCGCTGCCCATCAACACACCTCCCACTCGCCGCGCGCGCGCGGCACGTTGGGAACTGTAGTCCGCGCGCTCACACGCACCTGCGCAGCGACGCGCTCGCCGGACTACAACTCCCAGCAGCCCCTGCGCCGCGCACCCGCCCCCCCCCCCGGCGGTGGGGCCCTTCCCCCCCCCCCCCCCCCCCCACGACCCCCCCCCCCCCCCCCCCCCCCCCCAGCACGGCCCGGCCAAGTACAACGTATGCAGGCGGGGGGGGGGGAGCGCTCCCGGCCCCGCACGAACCCCCCCGGCCCGCACCCCCTGCACCCCCTCCCCACCCCGCACAGCCCCAACGCTGCCCCCGGAGGGGGGGGGAAGGAGAGAGGTCGGGCTCCAACCACCGCCCCCCCGGCCCCGGGCCTGACTCCCACCGGTCCCCCCCGGTCCCCCCCGTACCGGGCCGTGCGGTCCGAGCGAGCGGAGCGGGCCGCGCCGTGCCGAGCCGGGCCGGGCCGAGCCGTGCGGGCGGAGCAGGCTCTGGCCGCCCCGCGGGAGCTGCTCGCCGAGGCCCGTATGCGGCTCTCTTCCTGCTCCGGCCGGGGCCGCCCCGCTCTTAAAGGGGCCGCGCACCGCCCCCCCCCCCCCCCCCCTCGTCCGCGCCCGCCCCCCCCCGCCCCGGGGCGCAGCCTTGCAGCCGGCGGGGGGCGCCCCCCGCAGCGCGCGGCGGCGGCGTTGGGGTGCGGGGCCCTTTAAGAGCCCCCCGCGGACCCCTGGAGCAGCCCCCACAGCGCTCCGGACCCCCCCCAGTGTCACCCCGCAACGTGCCCCAGGGCACCCCCTGCGTGTCACCCCATGAGGTAGCCCCAGGACCCCCAACCCACCCCTGTCACCCCATAGAGCACCTTGCACCCCTCATGTCACCCCATGGGGTGCTTCCAGACGACCCTCGTGTCACAGGGGACACGGAGCAGCTCTGCCCAAGGTCAGTGGTGGGCTCCAAGCCAGGGCTATGGGGACAGGGGAGGGGACAGGGGACAGCCACCACCTCCAGCCTGCCCCAGGGCCAGGTTGGGGGGCCATGGACACACGCCCCCCCCAAGGACCGGAGCTGCAGGGCTATAATAGCTGCCCACCATTCCGCTCCAGAGTGAACAGCTCCTCCAGGTTCCTGCAGGGGGGCAGGTTCTGCTGGAATTAGTAATAATTTAAGGAAAAAGTAATTAAAGGAGGAGGAAGACAAGGAAGGATTTGATCAACAGCGCCCGGGATTCCCCCTTTCTCCCCTTTTTAGCTCCTCACATGGAGCCTTCACCCCCCCCCCTCCGTGTGTCCCCCCAAGAGGGGTTTTGGGGGGGGGGGCTCAATAGCATTAACCCCATTCTAGAGGTGGGGAAACTGAGGCAGGAAGGGGAAACATGGCTGGAGGTGGGGACTGAGGGGCCCCAATGGGGGGGTGGGGGGGGCGGGTGCACCCCAGGGCCCAGCCATGTGCTGCAGCCTCCTGCTCGCGGCTGCTTTCGCTTTCCCCCATCACAACAGGGACGTGCTCAGACCCCCCCTGCCCCAAGCTGAGCCCCAGCATGGCCCCACAAACTGCCCCAACACATACAGAGAGCACCCATGTATAGCAGGGGTGGGGGTAGGACCCCAAACACCCCCCTCCCACCCTGCAGCAGCAATAGGGTTTGGGGTACCCCATCCTCCGTGTGCCCTCAAACCTCACCCCCAGCCCATGGCACCCCCCCAGTGACTCCAAGCCAACACCATAGAACCTGCTGCAGCTCCCATGGCATGGAGTGAGTTGATCCCCGTCTCTGCAGGATGGCACCGACACTCCCCCTCCCAACAGGGGACCCCAAAGGAGTAAAAGCAGGATCCCCCCCCCTCCGGCCTGGAACAGACACCCAGGCTCCCCAAAGCTTTTTCTCAGTTTTGGGTCTGATTCTGGCCATAAATATCCCACCCCAGAGCCCTTCCCAGCGCTCTCAGTGGGATTTAGGGCATTGCTCCATCCTCACACCCTGCATCCATGCGGGCTGGTTATACCAAAATCATTCCCTTATCCCCTGCTTCTGCTGGAGGCGGCCACCAGCACATCCCAGTCTCCAAGCACCATCGCTCCCATGCAGGGAGAACCCAGCGGCGTTGCAGCAATCCATCAGCATTCCAGCGTCACAGGGGTTAAAGCCACTTTGGGGCATGACCAAGAAGAGAAAAGGCCCATTAGCCATTAGCTGTAAAGTGCCATTTATTTGGGTGGCTTTTTCCACCCCAGGATGAAAATATTGAGTCTAAAAAAGTAATTGCACCAACACAACCTCCCCCCCTTCCTCCCAAACCTGCCCTGAAATCACCCCAAAGCTTCAGACCTGCCCCTTCCCCACCTCAATCAAGGCAAAGCCCACTACAAGCAACCCAGACTGACCCAGTGAGCACAGATCCCCCCCCAAAATGTGGGGTCTCCCCATGGGATTGCCTTGGGGAGACGTGGTTGTCCCCAGCAGGTCAGTGCTGGAAGCAGATGAGGGGCATGGGGTTACCAGGGCCCTGGCAGCCCCCCCCTTGCTTTTGGGAAGAAAAACAGCCTGAAAAGAAGGAAAATCGGTAAAAATCCCCCCAAGCTTCCCAAAATCATCTCCTGTGGGGGCTTGGGGGGTGCAGAGCCCCATTGGTGGAAATGGGTCCCCCCAAAATGCACACAGGGGGTGGAAAATGAGGGGAGAGCAGGGCTCAGCCTGGGCTGCATGAGGTCCTTCCTGGGCATGGGGGGGGACATGACCAGGAGGGACCATGACCCCCAGTGACACCAGTGGGGCCTGGGAACAACGTGGTTGGACTGAGGGGGGTTCATCCCTGCTCTGCCAGGCTCAGCCTTGGCTCCCTACAGCCCCATCCCAGGGGATTGGGGGGCTTAAGGGGGGTGCAGCAGGGACCCTGGGGCTCTCCTCCACCCCCCATGGCCAAGGGCACTTGGTGAGAGGCAGCTGGAGGGGGAAAACCAGGAACCTGGATGGTGTTCACCCATTCCCATCCTTAGGACACGGTGGGTCTGGGGGGCTCTGCTCCCATCTCTGCACTGGAAGGAGCCAAGGAAGCACCCAAAGATCCAAACCAGGGTTTGCCATGGATCCACTCACCCCCAACCCGCAGCTCCCCCCCCAGTTCCCTCCCATTCCAAGAGCTCTGCCCACACTCAACACATGGAGACCCTTCACCAACACCCAGTGCGCGACAAGAACAGGTTTAACACAGCCCTTGAACAAGAACACACAACTCTCTGCTCTCCACCTGCAGCAGGGCCAGGAGGGAGCTCACAGCCACTAACCCCTATCCCAGCACTTGGAAAGGGATGGGAAAGCAGCACCATTCCCAGGCACCCAAGGCAGGGTTTCTCCATCCATCCCCTCCACTCATTACTCCACGTCGGAGCCCACCAGGAGGAGGTGCAGGTCCGGCCCCGTCTCACACACATGCACGTGTGCACACACACCCCATTCTTTTCTTTTTTTAACCCAAGGGAACATGTTTCAAAACCAAACCAAACCAAAACGAACAGAAGCAGCACCGCATTGCCCAAGTGGCAGGAGCTCCAGAGCTGGAGCAGAGGCCTGGAACCCCCCCCCACCACCACCATCCATAGGAACCAACCCCACTCCGGCTGCGGGGTGGCTGAGAGATGCTTCCGAGGGGACGATGGTGCTTTGCCGCTTGGATGTGAGGAGGAGGAGGAGGAGGAAGGAGGGAGGGCGCCTGTGTGGCCTGCGGGAGGAGGCTGATGTGCTGCCCCTCACACGGCAGCACGGGTGGGAGTGCTGGGCTGGTTCAGCCGCAGCGTTCGGCACAGCCAGCCTGCGAAATCCACCTCCTCCACCTCGGAGCGCTTGATGAAGGTGTGACTCTGGAAGCCAAGGGAACAGGGTTAGGAATGGCACCGGCTGCGTGGTCCCAAACCCAGCCCCACGCCGCGGGAAGGAGCCCGGAGACGGGGGAAGATCCCAGTGCCATGACTCAGGCTGGGAAAGGGCATTTAGAGGAACTGTTTGTTCCTTGCTGGGGTTTTAATCCGTGCTGGCCCCAGAGTCAACACGCAGCACGGGAGCAGGGAACACCTCCAGAGAACAGAGCCCAGGTGGCCCCTGCCTGCTTGGTACAGGTAGGACAAGGTGCTGCAGCTCCCCACAGTCCCAACTGCCCCTGGATGGCAAACACTGCTCCCTTGGGGGCAGAAGGTAAGGGAGAAGCTGAGTTGGGATGGGACAACCTTTGTAAAGGGCATTGGGCCACGCAGGCCACCTCCTTTGCAAGGGCTACCTGGGAGCCCAGGGACTGCACTTGGTGCAGAGGTCAGCGTGGTTACACTGCACTCATGGAATGGGTTGGAAGGGAGCTTAAAGCACATCCAGTTCCAACCCCTGCCATGGGCAGAGACCCCTTCCACTGGAGCAGCTTGCTCCAAGCCCCTGTGTCCAACCTGGCCTTGAGCACTGCCAGGGATGGGGCAGCCACAGCTTCTCTGGGCTCAAGGGCTCACTGAAGCCGGGCTGTGCTCAGCCCATCTATGTTCCTATTTATCTGCCCAGTTCAGGAGGCAAAGGTTTGTCTCAGGCACAGGACAGCGGGTGGTTCCCACCCCAGCTCCACACAGGCTTGATACCATCACTGCCTTTGAACTACAGGTGAGTCACTCCCTCTCCCAGGCTCCATTTGGCTCCTGTTAAGCTCAGCTGGGGAGTTTCCAGCCTTTTGAGCAAGAGGTGCAGAGAGATGGGGCAGCAGTTGGCAGATCTGCTCTCCCCACTTACCATCAGCATCTTCAGATCTGCCCGCTCTGCTGGGTTTTTAATTAAGCTGAAATGAGAAGAACAAGAGAGCAAAACCAACGCTGAGACACTGCTTGTGGGAAACCAGTCCCCGGAAGGTCTCCACCATCACCAAAAGCCCCTCTGGCCTCCTGGCAGTGTGGAAACAGCTTGGAAAGCATCATCTCCAACAGCCCATCTCCTGGGGAGAGCTGCAGGATCCACCTCTTTTAGAGTGTGTGGAGGAAATGCACCTGCAGATGGGAAAAGGACCCAGCACTTGGTGGGGATCGGAGATTTCTGGCATGTCCAAGCTCTGTGATGTAACAGGAGCTGCAGCAGCATCCTCAGGTGTCCCCCCCATCAGAAGGGCTGCAAGGTGACAGTGTGGTGCCTGCATGGCTGTGGGGTGACTCAGCCCCGTCAATCTGTTCCACCATCCCCCTGCCAGGCTCATATTTAGAAGGCGCTGGGATACTGCTCAGCATCACCAGAAATAAACTGCTTTTATCCCAGCCCTTCCCAAGGCTGGAGCTCCCAGCACAACGTGGGATCCCTGCAGCCAGGCAGATCACCTACAGAGCAGGAGAACATTGCGTTACACTGATGTTCTGGGTGGAGCAGTGGCCTGCAGAGCTGTCAGGCAGCACCTACGGGTCCCCACGTTGGCCCCCAGGGGAAATCCTTACCATTTATTTACAAACTCCTGGAAGTCTTGTGTGAAAACTCCATTGGGCAGCTTGGGAGGCGGCTGGGGAGAAAGGGAGAAGGGTTTTCAGCGTGTTAATGGGTCAAAAACCAGAGTGCACCTCGCTCTGAAGGAGCTGCAGAGAAGCTGTGCTCCCCAACTCTCCTCCTCCTTGCTGCTCCCCATCGTTTCCTACCCCAGCAGCAAACTGCTCCCCAGCTCCATGTGCAGCTGGGGGGACCCCGCACTGAATCCCTACCAAAGCTGGAAAACCCAAGCTGCAGCAACGCAATTCCAGATCCAGCCTCACAAATCCCAGCTCTGGCAACACCTATAGAGGAGGAAGCTGATCCAGAAACAATAACTGGGGGTTAACTCCGATCATCCTGACACGGGAAGCACCCAGAGATGCTTTTGCAATAGAGAGAGATGGGAAGGGGGAAGAGAAGGAAAGGACATGGTCCAGGGTGAGGTGTCCCTGACCATGGCAGGGCATTGGAACTGAATGATCTTGAGCTCCTTTCCAACCCAAACCATGCTATGATTCTGTGATATCCGTGCAGCTCAGAGGGGCTCTCTATTGAAAAGCAAAGGCTTTGGAGCCCACCCTGACCCAGCAGAGTGGAGATGACAGCTTGGTGCCCCAGGGAAGCCCAGCAGAGCTGACAGTAAGGAAATACCCACCTCATTAACTATATAATCCAGCAGTTCAAAGATGGCCATGGCAGGCCGGTTGTCCATCCCATGGCCTGTGTGGTTAAGATGACAAAAACAGTGGTGAGAGGCTGCTTGGGGACAGCCAAGGGCTTCATCTTGTGTGAAAAACACATGTGCAGTGGGATTTCTATTGGGAGAGGCAGAGGCAACCCACTTGGGAACAGACTTGTAGTGGAAGAGAAAACCAAAATGCATTCCAAGATTCCCGATTTCCCTCCCCATGCCTATAGCCCAGATTCACATCCCAGCTTGGAGCATTTGGAGAGCACCAAACCATCTGCTGTCGCAGGCTGGCAGCGCTTCCAGAGCCTTCTGCTTCCAAGCAAATGGCTCAAGAACAGCCTCCCTCAGCTCCCATGCTGGTTGGATACTCTGTGAGAGCTCCCTGCAAAGCTCTTCCCCAAAAGCTGCCTCTAGCTTGAAAGGAACCTGTTGGCAGCATGGGCAAAGCCTGAGGAGCAACAGAAGTTCTGACAGTGTCCCTCACAGCACCGCCTCGCAGGGCTCCACATCCCATCCCCAGCACAGGGTGCTTTGCTGCCTGGCTTTAGCCTCTTTGTAAGACACAGACATCTAAAGGCAGGCAGATAAACTGAGCTCTTCAGAACCTTAACAGACCCTGCCTGGTGCTTCAGATCCATTCCTTGACAGCATCCTGAGAGCAATCTCCACCTCATCATGCAAGACCAGACTCAACTGCACTCATTAGGACTTAAAACCCCCCTGTGGTAGAATGGATGCTGGTAGAGCATCAATGTGGCTCCATCTGCTCTGCAAAGGGGCCTCCCCGGATGCATCTCCCCACCACAACCTCACGCAAAGCAGCCTTTGCCCAACCCAACCACACCAAACAACACCCAACCCGTCTGCCCCCATGTCTGTGTGCTGTTCAATGCATACGACAGCCCCTACCACTGACGGGGCGTCCTGGGGGCCTGGCCCGCGGCGAGATGCTGTGAGAGTCTCCCTCTGCCCCGTCCACCACGGGACGGCCAAATATTGCTTCCAGTTCCTTGGAGTCTGGCGGGGGGATTGGGTACCTTCCGATAGACAGCTCCACTAACGACAGCCCCATGCTCCAGATGTCGGACTGGACCGAGTAGTGGGTGCCCTGCAACCGCTCGGGCTGGAAGGGAAGACCACAGAAACACACATTGACTCACAGCATCCAGATGCAGTCATAAAGAGCATGAACTGGAATGAAATAGATAAAACTCTGCATCATAGCATCACGGGACTGTTTGGGTTGAAGGGATGTTAAAGTGCATCCAGCTCCAACCCCTGCCACGGGCAGGGACCCCTTCCACTGGAGCAGCTTGCTCCATCCCCTGTGTCCAACCTGGCCTTGAGCACTGCCAGGGATGGGGCAGCCACAGCTTCTCTGGGCACCCTGTGCCAGCGCCTCAGCACCCTCACAGGGAAGAGCTTCTGCCTAAGAGCTCAGCTCAGTCTCCTCTCTTGCAGGTTAAAGCCATTCCCCTTATCCCAGTCCCTACAGGCCCTTCAGTTTATAATCAAGATGGGTTTTTCGCTGCTTATTCGAGTTAATACCCAAGAGGAATTTGAGGAACAGAAAATCCACTCTAAGCTCTTAACACTAAAGAAAATAAAAAATTAAATATATATAAATCAATGCAAGTCACCCATAGTGGCAGCTTCGAGTCAGCTGGGCAGAGCCAGTGGCTGAGTGCAAAGGAGATATTAGATAGCCACTGCCTAACTATAACTGTACTTGAATAACCATTCCCAAAATATGAGAGCAGCTCAGCCCTAGACACAGGAGTCTGAAGGCTTCCCTAATAACCCACTACCCCTTCCTGGCCACGGTGCAGGGAGGAGGTAGGATGAGGTGGTGGGCATGTCCCAGCACTGTGTCCCCTCCACACTCAGTGTTTTGGACAGAGCTTTGCACACAAAAAGATGGTTGTGAACCCACAAACACCTGCCAAATAAAATACAGAAGTGCTTGTAGGACCTGAAATGACTTTCCCTGCAAGTCTCTGCATTTCCAAGGCACCACTGCCAGGTGGGCACCGCTTGGAGCTGACAGGACACCTCAAGAGAACATGGAGGTGTCTGTTACTGGGGATACCACCCCTGCAGGCCTGTGTCCAGCTCTGTAGCCCCTGACACAAGAGGAATGTGGCTGTTGGAGCAAATCCAGAGGAGGCCACAGAGATGCTGCGAGGGCTGGAGCAGCTCTGCTCTGGAGCCAGGCTGAGAGAGCTGGGCTGGGTCAGCCTGGAGAAGAGAAGGCTCCTGAAGGGGAGACCTTAGAGCAGCTCCAGTGCCTAAAGGGGCTGCAGGAAACCTGGAGAGGGGCTTGGGACAAGGGCCTGTAGGGACAGGCCAAGGGGAATGGCTTGAACCTGCCCGAGGGGAGACTGAGCTGAGCTCTGAGGCAGAAGCTCTTCCCTGTGAGGGTGCTGAGGCGCTGGCACAGGGTGCCCAGAGAAGCTGTGGCTGCCCCATCCCTGGCAGTGCTCAAGGCCAGGTTGGACACAGGGGCTTGGAGCAAGCTGCTCCAGTGGAAGGGGTTGGAGCTGGAGGAGCTTTAAGGTCTCTTCCAACCCAAACCAGTCTGCGAGTCCATGATTCTTCAGCACAGGACAGTGCCTCAAAGGCATCATGTTAGGCTCATCCCTAACATGAACAAGGAATGGGGCAGTCCAGATGCAAACACAGAGTGAATCCATGAGTGAATCAGACACTTCAGTGTGTAAGAGGTGAGCTGAACCCAGACTGTAGAAAAAGCCCAGCCAGACACTGGAACTTACAGACATGTAGGACCGAGTTCCCACAAAAGAGTTTGCCATGGAGTCAATGAGCTGACCGCTGACCCCGAAATCACACAGCTTGATCTCTCCTCGAGAGTTAACCAGGATGTTGGAAGGCTTCACATCTGCCAACAGCAAGAGAGAAGAGCATAAACACGACTTTGGGTAGAATACAGGGCTCTTGTACTGCAGGCAGTTATTTTTAGGTTCCTCCTCTCACCTCTGTGCATGATTTGGTGCTTCTCTCTCAGATACGCCAAGCCTCTTAGAACCTAGAGGGAAACCAAAGACAGGACGAGATCAGAGCTGGGAAGGGAAGAGCTCTCCCCAAAAAAGCTTCTCCCAGATCTTCTCCAGGAGAAGTCAACACCAATCAGTGCAACAAAAGGGGTTAGATCTACAGGGGGTGGTTGGGAGTATGCTTTCCCCCTCCCCTCCCACATACACCACAGCCTCTTGCCCCAGACCACATAGGAACATGCATATGGGGAAATGAAGAAACCTTCCTAAGGCAACACAAGCATGATTCCCAAACTATGCTCAGCAAATCCCTCCTGGAAGCCTGAAGGGCCACTCTAACTCACCGCTATACTGACTTTCCCCAAGATCTCCTCGGGAATTCTTTTGGCTTCTTTCAACACTTGATCCAAAGAGCCACCATCCTAAAATGAAGAACATTAAAGTTACCAACACACCAATCCCTGGTGGGAAAACAGAGCACCTGGAGGTACAGGCAGGCATGCCCAGGGAGGGTGAGTGGGTATAAGCAGGACAGAGCATCCCAGCTCAGCATCAAGGCTCAGCATTGCTCCTTTGACAACACAAAGATATCTGGTGATCAGAGATCAAGCTTCTTACTAAAAACTATTTTAATGCTATCTTCTATCAGCTTTACTTCTTGCTATCAGTTCTTAGCTTCCTTTCCATCAGTGCCAAGGACAATACTGTCAGGACTGATCTGGAGAAGCAACACCACTGCTTTCGGCCAGAGACAACAGAAGATGCACGTTGTGCTTCAGAGCAAGCTCATTTACAGCATTTCCATCTGGCCAACCCCAAACCTTTGATTTCACTTTGCAAAGGTGGATCTCTGTCATTTTAATGCCTACACGGGAGTGTGCAGCTCCTACCAGGAGCACAGTGGCTGTGGCCAGAGCAAGGACCATGGCAGCTGCCAGCACCCTAAACCCACCTCACCTGCAGTTCACCCAATTCTCTGCAATTCCAAGACTCGGGGAGATGCAGTTCACACCAGACCAGCGAGCAGCAGGGTGAAGAGGAGGAACAGGGACTCACCATGTGCTCCATGCAGATGGAGATCTCTCCGTCGCTGTAGAAGGCTCCATAGAAACCCACGATGTAGGGGGAATTGCACTCATGCAGCACCTGCAGCTCTCGGATGATCTGGTTCCTGATGGCTGGTTTGATTTCTAAATGAATCAGCTGCCAAGAAAGAAGAAAACAGTCAAGGTGGAACAGCCAAACTTCCAGGAACCATACGAGCAAGTCCCAAGTGTTGGATAAAACAAAGTCTTCAAGGGAAGCTTTGCTTTGGCATAGACTTCACACCACTTGGAGACTAACACTAAGGGTAAGGGGAGAGGCTGAGCCCTGGGCAACCTCTTAGTGACTGAAGCAAGTGCCAGGCTTGTAACACAGCGACAGGTACCAAGTGGAAAGACAAGTCTCAAGTTTGCTGTAGGTCTGACTCAGCAGACAGGAGCATTTCCACCAGCTCTGTAGATGGTGTAAGAAGAGGTGCTGCAGTATCAAGGAAACCACAGAGAGTACAAGAACCTGTGAAGATTATGCACATGAAAGAGCAGTTGCTTCATTCTTTAGGCTGCACATACAGAGTCAGTGAATGCAGCTGTGGGTAGGGAAGCCAAAGGCAGGTCAGAAAAGGAGCCACTGTTACCGTGAGCTCTGGGACACCTAACCCCAGGGATGCCTGTCCTTCCCACAGACCTACCGCTGCTGGTCTCTGCAGGAAGGACAGCAGTCCTGCAGCCTGCCTTTGCTCCAGTTAGGAACACGGAGCTCCCAACAATCTCCAAACCACCCAGGGACACCCAACATTCCCAAATCAACCACCCTGGAAGGCTCCAAGAGCTCAGCTCCAAATGAAGCCACCTAGAGAAGTGGATTTGCTCACAGAGATCCACTAAACCACCCCATAAGCAGGAGAGAACAGAGGCTTTCGTGGAAGCTGTCCCACAGATGAGCGATTGCACTGTTCACGCCCAGCTCTGCCTTTTCTAACAGGCAAAGCACCTTCTGCTACAGGGCACCACAGTGGATATCATCACATATAAACCCATGTCTGAGAGGAACCCCTGTCAGGGCTGCTTGGAACGACCTTGGGACAGTGTTAAGCGGGTGGTGGGACACAGCTGGAGGCAGTCCCAACCCAGGAGAGGTGGGTAGGGAGGTGTTAGGATGCAGACATGTCACTGCCCAGAGACCCCAACCGAAGAGGGATGCCCTTGAGCCCGATGGCACAGCCCACTCCACCCATCCCCTTACCTTCCGTGCCATAATGAGCCCTGAGGGTTTGTGCTGCACTTTGGTGACCACACCGCCATTGCCAGCCCCCAGTTCAGAGATCCTCTCAAAGTCATCGTCCTTCAGCTCGCCCACTTTGGCTTTCTGCGTGAGGAAAGCTTCCAGGCGCTTCTTCTGCTGCTCGTCCAGCTCCAATTCCTCGAGCTTCTTCTGAAGGTCCACCAGGTTTGCCCTGGAGAGGGCAGGAGGAGACAGCAGGAATGGTCAGGGGGCAGTGAGGGCAGCGCCATAGAAACAGGGGTTGGTTTTATTAGGGAAGTGGAGGAAAATAACTGAAAGCCACCATCGGGTGCACGCTCAGCAACAAGACTAAAGCAAAGCTCTGGACAGAGGCAGAACTCAGCGCTGGTGCTGACAGGCTCCCTCAGACAGCAAGGCCCATGGTGCCCAACACACACATCCCCTCTGGAGAGGAGCTCGTTTGGGAAAGCCAAGGAACAGGAAAATCCTTCAACCCTTAAAGAGGCAGCAGAGCTCAGCCTGCAGGGAACGGCAGCCCCGGGAACCTCTCCCTCTCCCGACATGGGCAGCGCAGCTTGGGTTTCGCTGTGAAACATGAGGAGTGCCCAGCAAGCCCCTGCTCCCTACACCCCCAAACCCGCTGCTGCCGGGCACAAAGGGGCGCCTGTGCTCCCCCAGCACCTGCTGCTGAGCTCCAGCTGCTCCCTCCCATTTGCTGCCCACCCCTTTGTCCCCTGCACCCAGGGTGATTTTGGGGGGGAGCGTCTCAACCCACCCTTCCACACAGCCCCCCCAGGCGATGCTCTGCCTTTCCCTAGCACTGCCTGTGCCCCCCTCTCCACCGTTGTTTGCCCCACACGTCCTGCTCATAGAGCCCTCATCACTGCCCCAATCTTCCACCCATTCGCCTTGATCCCTCTCCCAGCTCCAGCCTCTGTGCCCAGGCCTGCTCCCCACAGCCCCCAGACCTTCCTCCACCAAACCTGGGCCCCAGACCAGCCTCCAACTCTGCCCATCCCGCCCTGCCTGCCCCCAGCCCCTCTAACCCCCAACCTGACCCCAAGCACCCCCGGAGGTTGGCCCCATCCAGCCTCCCTACCCCAGTCAGTCCCCCAGCCCCAGTGCCCGCCATGTCCCTGCCTTCCCGCTCCCCCTCCGACCCTCACAGTCACCCCAGCACCGGGACCACCATGTCCCGGCTCCCACACGCACCCAGGCCCGGTGCCTGCCCGCACAGCCCGCTCCCCGCCCCGGTCTCGGCGCAGGCCGGTCGGGCCCCACCACCACTCACTCACTCTGCGGAGCCGTCGGGACTCGGCCCCTCGGCGGCGCTGGGGGCGATGTTGAGGGCGGGCAGCACCGGCTTCCTCTTGGCCAGCATGGCCGGGCCGGGCCGGGCCGCGCCGCGCCGCGCCTGCGGGGCCTACCGGGGGCGCGCGGGGGCGTGGCCACAGTGGGCGGAGCCTATCGGGGGCGCGGCCTGAGAGCCCGCGGGGAACGAGGAGGGGCTGCGAGGTCTCGCGAGATCTCGCTGAGGGGAGAGGGCGGTGCTATGGCGGAGGGACGGTGCGGCGTGACGCGGCTCCGATCTGCCTGTGCTGAGGCAGCGGTCGGTGATCGCCCTCTCCGTAATTAGCAGCCTAATTAGCAATTAATGAGAGACCCCCTCCAGCCCTTGCCTGCCCTGCCCAGCCGCTGCCTTCTGCCCCATCGATTCTGGAGGGCCCGCGGCACCATGGCGCCGGCCGGCCGGGCGCCCTTTGCTCGGTTCCGGGCGTTCCGATCTCCGCTGCCGGGCCATAAAGCAGGGAGCGGCCGCCAGCGAGGGCAGCGGCCTTCCCCGCTGCCGCCCCGGGCAGAGGGCACCGGTCACGGCCTTGTGCCCGGGCACAGCCCGTGTTACTCACCCGGCCGCTCCCCGCTTGTGGATCCCATGGGATCCAGTGTGAGGGTGCTGTCGCCATGGGATCAGTGCAGTGGTCAAGGAACCGCAGCGTATTCTGCCCCGGGTAGGGGAAACTGAGGCACAGAGGGTACAGGCAGCAGAGCCCGGGTCAGCCCTGGCCACAGGGACAAAGGTTTGTGGTGGAGGAAGCCACAGGTAGTAGGGTCTAAGTTAATGGCTTCACCGGATGTTGTTCTCAGCACCTATAAATGTGATTAACTGAGGCACTGGCCTGAAAAAAGGGAAATTAGCCCCAAAATGGGTGAAAGTTCACGGGCAATCCCAGCGCTCGGACTTCGGCCACCCCTGCTGCCCTGCGTTGTGCAGGAGGACAAAAACAGTTGGCTAATGAGTGACAGGAGTGCAGCAGGGCCGTCCCCTGCCATTGCTCACCCTGTCCCCAATCAGTGACGGGGGGTTTTGCAATCTGGGATGTTATTTCTGTGCTGTTGGAGTTTAAACTTTGCCACTTGGGTCACGGCACCGCAGAGGAGGAGGAGGTGAAGGTGGAGGTGTCCCTGCTTGGTGTCTGCTGGCTCCCCTGTGCGCTGCGGGTGCTGAGGAGACAGGACGAGGCGGTGGGAGCAGAACCTCGTACACAGGTATGTCCTGGCTGACAGCACTCAGTGGTGTCTGCCTACCTGATGGTCCCATGGGGCCGTCACGGCTCATTGGAAGGACTGCGGTTGAAAGACAGGGTGCAGTAAAGCTCCTTGCCTGGCTTGGCCAAGCAAACATCCTGGTAATGACAACTGTCCCCAAACTGGGCTTGAGGAACGCTTGAGTCAGGGCTTAGTAGGTTGGGGAGGGCAGTTGGGTGATGGGGTGTAGTGGGATGCGCAGTCAGGTTGAGTGGTGGGTCAGGTAGTTGGGTGGTGGGTTGGTTGACCAATCATACAGTTGACTGGTCAATCAGTGGGTCAGTGGGTCAGTTATTTGGTCGGTTGAACAACAGTTGACCGTTTGGCTTGTGTCTTGAGTGGTTAATTGGTTTGGCAGGTGAACCAGTTGGGCAGCTGCTTGGTTAGTTGGGTTGTCAGTTGGCTGATCTGTGGGTTGGGCAACTGGTGAGTTGGCTCCTTGGGTTTCTCTGAGTCCTGGGGCAGCAATGGCAAAGCAGGGCTGAGTCCCCTCCTTGGGGCGGGTGCTGGCAGCAGTCTCCTCCTCCACTTGCCACCAAGAATGATTAACCTGATCTTAGAGCATACATGAGACTGGGCTGGATGGGTGCTCATCCTGCTCCTGCACTTGGGGGCTCAGTGGGGCTGGGGCAGGTGGGTGCCTGTGGGGAGCCCCTGGATCTGTGGGTCTCTTGAGGGAAAAACCCCAGGATTTGGGAGTTTCAGCTGCTGGAAGGAGGTGATGGGGGGACACTGCCGTGCCCCTGAGTCCCTGCACGCCTGTGCTCTCCCTCCCGCACACATGCATGTAGGGCTTTGCCAGATGTGCCCACATATGCTCACATACAGGTGCCCACACATATATGTGTTCACATGCTCATGTCATTGCATGGCCATTTGTCTACATAGACACATAGCTCTGCACACACATGTGCCAGCACAGCCATGTGCACAGCTAGCCATGCACACATCCATGTGGTCACACAGAGTCACATGTGTAGATAGACCTCCCCATGGTCCTGCACACGTGTGCTCATGCCCAAACATGCTCCCTGCTCCCTCACATCAGCACCACAATTCAGGGTGTCCCTGGGGTTGTGCAACTTGGGGGGCAGAGGGAAGGCCAGGGGCAATCATGGGGACTGGGTTAGGGACCTGACCCTGCCACCCTGCAGCCATGACCTCTGGCATGGGCAGCCTCGACCTGCTGGACCTCCTCTTCGACCGCCAGGACGGGATCCTCCGCAGTGTGGAACTCGGGAGACCACCAGGCACCTGGCACGAGGACAGGGTGAGACCCCGGCCTGCGGGCCCATCCCCACCTCACCCCTGGGTCAGGCAGGAAAGCCCCATCCCCACACCTTGTCTGGGAGCTGGGGACACCCCACAGCACAGGCAGCTCCTGTGGACACCCCATGGTGATGGGTGACTGTGTCCCCACAGCGTGCCCAGGACAGTGAGGACTTCCTCAGCTCCATTCTGGGCTCTGGGGACTCGGCATCCGGCTCTCCCAGCTGGTCCCCAGCCACCAGTGACAGTGGGGTCTCCGAGGACCCCCCCTCCGACCAGCTCGACAGCCCCCCCGGATGCTGTGATGGGGGTCCCAATGATGTCCTGTACCCCTACACCAATCCCTGTGGGGCTGTGCCCATCCCGGGTGGGGCTGGGGTCCTGCAGCCTGAAGTCTCCATCGACCTGGGTGAGCAACAGGGAAGAGATCAAGCGAAAAGGGCTGGGGATACTGGGGGTGACTGGGGAGACTGGGGACGTGAGGAGGGTGAAGGAGCTGGGGTTTCCTGGGGATATGCAGGAAATTAGGGGATCTGGGGGGACTGGAGGGAACTGGGTAGACTAGGGAGAACTGGAGGGAGTGGAGAGAGCTTGGGAACTGGCATTAATTGGGCAGACTGGGGAGAACTGGGGGGGCTGAGCTGGGCTGAGCTGGTTGGTTGGGGGGGCTGGGGCAGGACCAGAGGGTCAGTCTGGGAGGGACAGAGACCAGGGCCACTGAACTGGTAGGTGGCAGTGACTCGTGGTAGCTGTGGGGCCATGACTGGGATATGGGTCCTACGCTGGAGACAGAGGGGGACACCGGACAGCTGACAGCCTCTGCTCTCCCCTCACCAGACATGTGGCACCCCGGCTTCTTCCTGGAGGAGAATAAGGACCTGCCTGTGGTCTCCCCACCTGCATCCTGCACCCTCACTGTCAAGGACCTGCTGCTCTCAAGCAGCAATGATGCTGTGAGTCCCCTCTACTGTGTCCTCATCCCTCTTGTCCCCAGCCTTGTTCCTTTTTGGACCGCAATCCCCTCCCTGTTCCTGTCCTCATCCCTCCCTGTCCCCACACTTGTCCCATACCTGTGCCTTCCTGGACCACGAGCCTGCACCATGGTCCCCCCCATGGTCCCTGGGATGAGGAGTGGGACCCCCACCCAGGGTGTCACCCACCTGTGGCCCCGCAGCAGCCGCCGGTGCACAGCTCCCTGCTGAGGCAGAGCCAGGGCCAGTTCCAGGAGCTGGTGCTGACGGAGGACGAGAAGAAGCTGCTGGCAAAGGAGGGGGTGTCCCTACCCACACAGCTGCCCCTCACCAAGGTGGGTGCCACCGTGCCTGGGAAGGGTGCGAGGTGGAGGGTCCCAGCCCAGGCATTCCTGACCCCCCATCTCCCCCAGTATGAGGAGCGGGTGCTGAAGAAGATCCGTCGGAAGATCAGGAACAAGCAGTCGGCTCAGGAGAGCCGCAAGAAGAAGAAGGAATATATCGATGGGCTGGAGAGCCGGTACGGACCTCAACTGCTCTGGGCACCCCACCGGAAGGGGGGGCACCTGGCGGCCGGGTGACAGCCTGCTGCCGGTCCCCCTGACCCTGTCCTCCCCTCCCTGTCCCCCAGGATGTCAGCGTGCACAGCCCAGAACCAGGAGCTGCAGAGGAAAGTCCTGCACCTTGAGAAGCAGAACTCGTAGGTGTTCCTAGAGCAGGAGGGGTGGGACAGGGCTGGAGACCTGCTGATGGCAGGAGGGGCTGGGAGGTGCTTATGGGCTCTGTCTGTCCCCAGGTCCCTCCTGGAGCAGCTGAAGAAGCTCCAGGCCCTCGTGGTGCAGTCAAGCAACAAGGCAGCGCAGACGGGGACCTGTGTTGCGGTGTGTGGAGCCCCCAAAGCCCCCCATTGCCTCCTCACTTGGAGGGAGGGACACCCAGAGCCAAGGGGATGGACTGGGAGAGAGGGGTGGACATGGACTAGGGCAGAGGGATGGGTGTTCCAAGGGTGGGTGGATAGATGAAGGGATGGATGGGTGGAGTGATGGATGGATGGACAGATGGAGGAAGAGATGGAGGGGTAGAATGAGGGATGGATGGAGGAAAGGGTGGATGGATGGATGGATGGATGGATGGATGGATGGATGGATGTGCTGGCAGCGGCACACACACCAGGAAGAACAGAGGGATGTAGACCTGGGTCTGCTTCCAGCCCCATCCCTGGCAGCCATGCTGCAGAAAGTGCCTCCTTCCAGGGCAGTGCATGGTGACATCCCCCTCTCCCCCCAGGTCCTGCTGCTCTCCTTCACTCTCATCATCTTCCCCTCCATGAGTCCCTTTGCCCCCAGCAGGGCCGAGGCAGACGGTGACTTCAGACCCGTGCGAGGTGAGTGCTGGGGCTGCATCGGGGCTGTGCTGAGGCTGTGCCGGGGTCCCAGGGCACTGCAGCATCCCCTCACCCTCCTGCACACTCAGTGTTCTCCAGGTCCCTGCACAATGCAGCCTCCTCCCGTGTGGCTTATACACAGCCCCAGGCTGGGGACGAGAAGCCCCCGGAGTCGCTGTGGTCAGAGCGCCTGGGCAAGACCCTGCACGAAGTCTTTGGTGGGCACGCGTTCACCCCACGCCTGGACAAAGTGCCTCCCCATAACGACACAGAGCCACTTCCCCCCGAGGGGCTGAGCCGTGGGGATGGGGACCAAAGTGTCCCTGTGTCAGAGGATGGCACCTCAGTGAACCATGGCCTGGCACCGCTGGCTTGGAGTCAGGCTGAGCACAGCAGGCCCACGGCGCTGGAGCCGGCCGAGGAGCTTTAGGCAGCATCCAGGGACCACAGGGGACACACTGGGGTGGTGCAGGGTGGCACCTCGGGGTGACCCCTTTAGGATCTGGCCCTGGGCACAGGTGGATGCTGGACATACTTGGCTTTGCTTGTATCTGTGAACTGCGAAAATGAGATGGTTCCCAGTGGCCTTACTGGGAGGGGAGGGTTGGCTCCAGGCTCCCGTGCAGCAGGAGCTGCAGGGACCCTGGGCTGGACAATGTTGGAACTGGTTGGCTTAGGTTTGGTTTTTTTTAAGCTTTATTTTCATCTCTAAATACAAGATATTTTGGAAAAAATGCACCTGCTTTAATTCAACACGGGGGGAACCACAAGGTTTCCAGGACCCCTGGGGTGGGGACACCTCGAGCCTGGCTGCCACAGGCAATAGTGCACAGCAGAGCCATGGCCCATGGCCGGACCATGCTGGGTGCTGCACCAGAGCTGTGGGCACGGCCAGAGGCAGCGGGACCAGGCACCCACTGCCCAGCCCTGGCTTCAGTCGGGGTGGCACCAGCTGCCTCAGCACCCTGTCCCTCAACCCCCTGAGGTCTGAGGGGTGCCCCACAACCACCTCCTTGCAGAGGAGGAACAAGGGGCTCGGTATATCTCAGGTGCCCTGCCTGGGCCCGTGGGCACAGATGCCCCGAGTCATGATCCGAGTGTTTTTAATACTTACATAAAAAAGGGGACAGTGTTTCAGGGTATTAAAAAAAGTCGGTAGGAAAAGTGGCACAGAGCATCTGGACAGGCAGGGAACAGTCTGGGTCAGGTGATGAGAGGCTCTACCTTCATCTTCTTCACCCTTGTTGGCCCCATGTCCGGGCTGGGACACTCCTGCTTCAGGCTGTCACGGCGTTCCACCAGTGTGGTCCCAAGGTCAGGGCTCAGCCCGCCCGTGCCGTTGTGCTGGGAGAGCGGCTCCTCCTTGCACAGCCCTTGAGCCCCAGCCTCAAACCTGCAGAGCTGCTCGGGCTTGGAGAGCTCCGCATGTTCCACCACCACCGGCCCCGTCCACTCCGGCACCTCCAGCCCCAAGTGCTTCATCAGCTTCGTCATCACATCGTCAACGTAAGCGTGGATGCGGAGGTCAGCCTGTTTGTCCTGGGGCAAGCAGGGGGACGGTAGAACCACAGAATGGTTTTGGTTGGAGGAGACCTTTAAAGACCGTCAAGTCCAAACTCCATACCATGGGCAAGAACAGAAGCATCATAGAACAGGTTGGGTTGGAAAGGACGTTAAGATCATCCAGTTCCAATCCCCTGTCATGGGCAGGGATGCCTCACACCAGACCATGTCGCCCAAGGCGGTGTCCAACTGGGCCTTGAACGCTGCCAGGGAGTGCACAGGGACAGGGCCTGGGTGACAGCTCAGCTGCACGCAGGCTCCGGGGCTCCTGTCCCCAAGGAATCATCCCTGGTGGAACATGAACTGACCTGTCTGGCTCCGCTCCCTAACCACTCTACCAGGGTGCACTTCAGAATGCAGCTGAGACGGGGATATGGACACAGAGCCTGGCTGCGAGCCCAGGCCAGGGGACAGGGACAAGGGAGCTCCAACAACACCCCAGAAACTCCCAGCTCTGGGAATTCAAACACTTTGGACAGTTAGAGCACCAAACCAGGCCTGAACAGGAACCCAACTGCCCTGTGGTATGGGCACGTGTGTGAGGTTATTTCACCAGGCTGGAATTCACCAGAGGATATGTCAGGATTTCTACACATTTCCATGGGTTTACTGCAGGTTTAAACCCTCCAACCAGGGATGCTCAGCCTGTCTGCCTGCTAAGTGAGGCCACTCTTCTGCCCAGCCACCCTGTGACGGGGCTGGAACAAGTGATGTGAGGGGAAAGGAGCCGGCCAGCAGCCAGAATGCTCTCACTCACGTGTTTGGTTGCCTGTAGGTTGACAATGACCAGCTTCCCTCCTCTCTTCTTCGTGATCAGTGGGAGGTTGCCGCTGGGTTTGATCTGCAGAGAGGTCCCCAGAGTGATGGAGAGATCAGCTTTCCTGCAGGGAGGAGACAAAACACCCAGGGCAGAGAGAGAGCTGTGCCTGTTTGCAGGCTGCTTCTCCTACCCTGCTCCAGTGTGGACTCTACAAGCTTCCCAGCCATGGTGCAAGGAGTCTGCAGTGGTTTCTCTTGGCCACTCTCTGGGGCAGGACTGGGTGTTGCTGTGCTGTGGGGAGCAGCCTAGGGCTGTGAGGTGCAGATGGGCAAAGCCAGAGTGGGTCAGCCCATGGGCAGAGTGCTGCAGGCAGAGCCCAGGCAGCCTCCTGCAGTGTGGGGAGCCCCAGCACGGTACCTGCAGGCTTCATCTGCCAGCGTGAGGTCGCGGTCGGGCAGGGAATCTTCCCAGTCCAGAATGGTGTCTCTTAACTTCCCTCTAGAAAACACACACAGTGGCTTTAGTGGTGTGCCCTGCCAAGCAGGAACAGCAGCTGAAGTGCCCCAGGAGACAGGACAGCAGCGTGGATCCTGTTGAGAGCTGGGATGAGCCTTTCACTCCCCAGCATCAGACTGGAGCCAGCAGAGCTCTGCCCTACGGCCCTGAGTCCCCAGCTCTACACCCCCCCTGGATGGGAAAAGCAGCTGTGCTGGGCCTGGCCAGCCTGGGTGAGGAAGCACGAGGGGCACATGGAACGTGTCTGGATGCCAGATCACCTCAGGGTACCTCCAGCTGCAGAGCTGGAACCATTTCCCTATGGAAGCAAGCAGCTCCAGGGCAGTGCATGCTGCTGGAGGGGAAGGGGCTTGCAAGCTGCCATCCCACAGCAGGGCATTGTCCCCATCCCGTGTCCCCACAGACGCACCTGCAGGCCCGCAGCCCCCGGGCTTTGGTGACGCTGCAGAGCCTGCCCGTGGGCTTCAGCCCCATGCTGCCCACCACGGCGTCCCGCACGTACTGCCTGCAAGAGACACGGGGCTGGTCAGGAATAGGTGGCACCCGCTGTGAAACACCCACCCTGCATCATGGCACAGCTCACCCCTCACCCTCTGCACTGTGAGGACAGCTCAGAGCCACAGGCAATGGCTGCAGCATCCCAGTCCTTCATTGATCTCTGCCTGTGTTTCTATCCTGGTGCTGCTGATGGCAGCTCTGACCAACAGCACCAGTCTGCTACAAACCAGCCTGCAGCAACCTCCTCTGCTCTGCTCTCTCCCGCTGGCAGACACTGCTGCAGGCAGCCCGCCTTGCCACGAGGAGCAGGGTTTGCCAAGGGCGTCCCAGGCACCGGAGAATTCCCAGAATGCTCATTTCCCATTGTTTCACAGGGCTTAGGATTCAGAGGGACAGATCTGCCTATGCCCCCCCCCCAAACTGAGCGACAACCCCATCACGTGTCCAGCGCCTCCATCAGTCCCTGGGGACACCAGCAGGCTCCCACCGCCCGGCTCTGGGCTCACGTACTTGCCACACTTCACACACTCTTCCACAAACATGTTCCCGTGGAGCTCGGCCAGCTTGTCCCTGCAGGAGGAACACCAGAGGTGAGCTGGGACAATGGAGCAAGCTGCCCAAGCCCCCTCCTCACCAAGACCCTGCACCTCTGAGGCTCCCTCCACTGCGGGCTGGGAGCAGTTCTGTGCCATGGCCACCACAACGGGGACTGAGAGGAAGGACAGCACGGCCCAGCCTTTTCATTGCAAACACTTCCATCTGCAGCACCAGTTCCAGCCCCTGTTCTGATCCAGCCTCAAACCTCTGCGCCCAGTGGGAACCTGGAGCTTTGCTCTTCCCAGCTCCTGCTGTTCCTGCCTGTCCTTGCATGGCTCTTTCGCTGCTTGTTTTGACTCAAACTCCCCTTGAGCTCAATGTAGAAGCCAGAGGAAAATAAGGCCATGCTCTCCCTGTGTTCCTGCGAGCCCCATGGTGACTGGGAACCTCCTTCAGGGTGGATGGAGACAGGACTGACTCGATTTCCCGTTTTGGCCTCAGTTCAGCAGCACTTACTTAAGCACATGCTCTACTTGTGTGGATGAGCTGTGCTAAACCAGCGGGCGCCAGCAGCAATGGGCTGCAGGGAGCACGGCTGGGTTCTCGTTCTTATTTCCTATTCTTTTTCCCATGGTTGTTTAGTTTCAAAAGCCAAATGTGGTGCAGGACTGAGGGCTTTTAATAACTGGAATTTCCCCCTGGGAGGCAGCTCAGCCACCGATGGCTGAAGATGATCATGAGACACATCCTCTCCAAGGTTCCATTCATGCTCCTTGCTCCCATCCCAACTCCATTTTATTTCATGACTTGAATTCAGGGGCTCTTCCCTTCCCTTTCCAGGCAGCTCCAAGCACTTTGCCTCACAAGACAATTGCCTGCTGGCCTAAGTGCTGGAAATGGCTTTTATAACAGGCTGAAGAGCCTTGTTGCCAGGAGCGCTAATGGAGAGGTGGGTTCCTTTGAGGACACCTCTGAAACAGCCACGACTAAACATAGCTCAGTCCCCACCACACGGGGAGCAGATGCTGTACCCTTGCTCCACACACTGCAGCTCCCTGCAGAGGGAACAGGGCCATGCAGGGTCCCTGATTTCACCACAGGTACATCAGACTGGTCCCAACTGTGGGACTCTCTCCTCCTTGCTGCCATTGCAGTTCTGCAAACGTACTGAGAGGCAAAATGCTCTGTAAGCACCCTGCTTTCACCTCTGGGGTGGCACTGTCTTTATTTTCTCTCAAGAAATTCAGTCTAAGCAAAGTGTAAAAGTAGCTCAAGATCCAGTGCTGTGTGAGACAGCGCTGGTCAAACAGGGCACCACGTGGCTCTGCAACCAGCAGCAGCAGTTTCATCCTCCCTGCAGTCCCTTCACCCCTCTGGATAGGTACAGAGGCAGTGGAAAGGCCCATGTGCTCTGAGCCCACCTCCCAGGAGCATGTGCCCTGCTTGAAGCCAACGTGTCCTTCCCCAGGCCCTGCTCACAGTGGCACCGACAGCTCCAGCCAGGCAGCTGGTGGGTGACAACATGCGACAGCCCGACACCGTGACCAACGAATGGTTTCTGGGTGTCCATCTAGAGAGCATCAACCGAGGCTGGTTTCATTTCACCACCCTCTGCATTACTGCCATAACCTCTCTTCAGTTCAAGCTGGTTTATGTCGCCCTTCCATGGGCTCCCCACATCAGACACGGCTTCCAAGCCAGCCTTGGAGCTCAATCCCCAGCACCAAACACTTGCACACGAGGCTGTTGCTTATCAGGCAGCAAGAACAGCCACGTGGCAGCGTGGGGAAAGGGATCAGGAACCCGGAGACAAGGCAGGAGAGGCAGTACCTTGGGAATCCGGAGCGCACGTGAAGGCCATCCACGTTCTGGCTGACCAGGAATTTCAGGATGCCGACCCTCTGCAGCCCCAGCAGAGCCATGTGAGTCTTGGAGGGTCTGGCACTCTCGAAGGTGGTATCAAATTTTGGGGAGAGCCCCTTCTCTTCCATAGTCCAGACACCATTGGGCCCCCTGCAGCAGTGGGGACAGAAAGAGAGAACAGAGAGCTCAGGACCTGAGGACAGTCGGAAATGAACTGTGTGCCCTGTCAATGGAGGAGGGAGGCACTGCAGAATGAATGTGGTCACCAGTGATTTGGTTGTTGAGGGAAGCAGAGCACAGGGAGGGTGCCCATGGGGGTGATCAGGGGCTGGAGCACCTCCAGTATGGAGCCAGGCTGAGAACACTGGGGCTGTTCAGCCTGGAGAAGAGAAACTGAGTGGAGACCTCAGAGCAGCTTCCAGTGTCTGAAGGGGGCTACAAGGATGCTGGAGAGGGGCTCTGCATCAGGGACTGCAGTGATAGGACAAGGGGTGATGGGTTCAGACTGAAACAGGGGAAGTTCAGGTTGGAGATAAGGCAGAAGCTCTTCCCTGTGAGGGTGCTGAGGCGCTGGCACAGGGTGCCCAGAGAAGCTGTGGCTGCCCCATGCCTGGCAGTGCTCAAGGCCAGGTTGGACACAGGGGCTTGGAGCAAGCTGCTCCAGTGGAAGGGGTCCCTGCCCATGGCAGCGGTTGGAGCTGGAGGAGCTTTATGGTCACTTCCAGGACAAACCACTCCATGATTCTATGGGCATAGCCTAACACCAAAGGGGTGTTAAAACCGGAGCTGTTCCAGCTGGGGCAGCACCCAGAGCTTTACAGGAGCCTCCCAACTCCTCTCCTGCGGCCCTTACCTGAAGTCAGGGATGCCCGAGGCAGTGCTGATTCCAGCCCCGGTGTGGAACACCACATTGGAGGAGCTCCTGATCAAGTCTGCCAGCTCCCGAACCTTCCTCTCCAGCTCCTCCGGCGGGTCAAAGATCTGAGCAAAGGAGACAAACACCACGGGAATGGAAGGAACAGGGACAGAGCCTGCCCACAGAGACACAGCAAGGCGCAACCCCTTCTTGTCCACCTCACTGACAAAAGCATTTAAGCAGAAAGAGCATCCTCAGCCTGGAGAAGGCCCCTTAAGGGGAGCTCCAGTGCCTGAAAGGGCTGCAGGGGACCTGGAGAGGGGCTGTGGACAAGGCCCCTGGTGCTGGAGGCCAACGAGGAGGGATCCGGGGGCTGGGGGCGCACAAAGGGGTCCCTCGCTCTGGGTTCCCCCCAGGGGGCCGGTGCCGCGGTTGCCATGGGAACGCCAGCGGCCGCTGCAAGGCCCCGAGTCCCCCGGGGGTGCCGCCGCTCCGCGCTCACCTCGGGGAGCCCGCACTTGCCCTTGTCCGAGTAGGGCGAGAGCCCGGCCGCGTAGTTCACCGCCATGGCCCGGCGCGGCCGCCGCTCCCACCATTGTTGCCAGCACCGAGCGCGGGCGGAAGCGCGCAGCGGGGCCCGGCGCATGCGCGCATGCGGAGGCACGGCCGGGACTGAGGCGGCGCCGCCGCCATCTTTGTGTCGGGCAAAAGGGAGGGCGCGGGGTTGTTGGGGGGGTCCTCTCGCTGTGCCCGGTCTTGGCTGTGCCCCCCCCCCCCGTCCTTATCCCAGCCCTAGTGTCGGGGAGCGGGATGGGGGAGCCAGGGCAGGGATGGGGCCTCTGTAAGGCAAGGAAAAGCAAGGCAAGGTGAGGGCAAGCGGTGCCAGACGAGGGCAGGGGTTGCCAGGGCAGGGAGGCCGGGCAGGGGGTGGCCTCTCCATGGCCTCAGCCGTGGCCCCCCCTTCCTGCACCCGCAGAGCCCTGAGAGCGCGGTGGAGCCCGACCCTGCTGCCCTCATCCCCCCCAGCGGCCCTCCCGGCCTGTCCCGGCCCAGCCATGTCCGCTCGCCCCCCGTCCGTGGGCGTTCAGGGGCTCATGGAACTCCCTCGGGGCCTGGCCCCCTCCCCGTGTCCCCCCCCGCTGCCCGGCTGTAACCGCACCCGGGCTGTAACCCAACCCCAGGGCCCGGGGCCCCCCCTCGCTGGGCGCTGCGGCTGCCGGGTGACAGCAGCGGGGACGGGGCTGGGGGTCCTCGGCTGAGATCGGCGGAGGAGAGAGCCCCGAGCGCGGCCTGGACCCGTCCCTGAGGCTGGAGCTGCCATGAAGAGCCTGAAGGCCAAGTTCAAGAAGGCGGACGTGAGTGGCACCCGCAGGGACACGGGGACACAGGGACCTGCCCCCGGTGTCCGCAGGGATGTGAGGACCCGGGGCCCTCCCTCGGGATGCCCCCATGTGGCAGGGATGGATGTGCTGACCTGCCCTGGGATGTGGGGTGGGTGCTCGCCGGGGGGACAGCGGCCCCATGGAGGTCGGCGCTGCCGCTTTGAGTGGTGGGGTCGAGCTCCCCGTGTGCCCAAGGGTGCACCCGGGGCAGAGCACAGGGACAAGGGCAGCAGCAGGGAGGGGGAAGCGGGTCGCGGGTCCCCTGCTGGGGGACGCTGCCAGGTTTCCAGTGCCTCACAGCCTGGACCCAGCCTGTCCGGGCTCCTCTATTATTCAGCACCTGGCTCGGGGCCGCGGGCTCTCACCTTCCTCCACACCGGGCAGAGGGTGACGGTGCTGGCCCCAGCGCGCTGGGTGCACACAGGCACTGCGGACACATAGGTTGGGGTGCTCTGTGCCTCACTTTCCCCTAGACACTTCCCCTTCTGCAAGTGGGAAGGGTCGGGAGGCTCCTGGGGTTCTGCCCTGGGGCCCTTTGCATCTTGGGGTTCCCTCCTTGAGGGGGGAGTTTGCTGAACCCCTGAGACACAGGCAGGGTCCTGCTCTCCCTCGGCGCCGGGGCTGTGGTGGGAGGTTGGTCTGTGCCCCCCTGGGCTGGGGGTCCCATGACCCCCTCCTCGGGGAGGTGTCAGGAGGATGCTCATGCCCTTGTTTTGGGGTGCCCTGCTGCCTCAGATTGAGCATGGGGTGGGAAAGGTGCCCCCCCCAGCCCCAAACCCTTCCCACTTTAACTGGGACCAGTATGGGTTCTGGTTCGTGGCTGGGACCTTGGTACCTGCTCCCTGTAGGGATGCGGTGCTGGCTGGAGCTCTGGACGCCGAGGAGGGAGGGAGGGAAGGAGGGAAAGAAGGAGGGACAGGGGGATGGAGGGAGGCGGATCCCGGCTCCCACTGCGGCAGGAGCCGGCCGCTGCCGGGCAGCGATGCTGGTCCGAGCTGGGTGCTGGGCGCCCCGGCCTGGAGCCGCAGCCTGCCCTCGCCCAGGCGGGGGGCAAGGGGTGCATGGCCGCCCGCCGCCTGCTCCTCAGCACCATGAAGCAGATCTGCCTCTGTGCCGCCGCCTCCTTCGCGGTACGTCCCCGACCTCCATCTCCCGTCCCCTCCGGTCACGTCCTCCCGGGTAAGCCGTGTCACCCCCGCCCCATCGGGCCCCCTCCACCTCCATCCCGGGCCCGGAGCTCGGCTGCGTCCTCTCCAACCTGCTTTGTCCTTGCATGACAGGGTATGGGGGCAGGCGCTGCCCGCCCAGTTTGCCCAGTAACCCTGGGACACTGCTTTATTCCAGAGTCCCCTGGCCCCGCAGGGCTGCAGGGGCTTGCAGGGCCTCCGGGTGCGCGCAGGGGCGCAGGTCCCCTGCCTGGTGCTGCCATCAGGCTGGTGAGGGGCAGGATGGAAGCAGCTCCCAAGGGTGACATCCATTTCCTGCTGCCGCGGCCGCAGCGAGCTCCACTTCGTCGTCATGGGCTGCGGGATGAATCCCGGGCTTCCTGGGTTGCTCCCGCAGCACTGGGATCTGTGGGATCGCTGTCAGCAAGTCCCCATCCAGCCCCAGCCCTGCAGGGGTGGGCACACAGCGTTGTGCCCTTGTATCCAAGGGAGGCTGGAGCCATCCCAGGGGATCTGCTCGAGCTATCAACTGCGCTTGCCCTGGCTTGGTCCTCTTAGAGAGCAGAGCAGGGCTGGGAATGGGCTCAATGGGGACACCCAGGCAGGGATGGGGCTCAGGTGCCTCACGGTGCTGGCTGTGTTTAGCACCGGCGTCACTGGGATGGCAGGGGCAAACCTGCAGGCAGTGTTGGCTCCTTCCCAAGTCCTTCCTGGTCATAGTCTGCCCCAGCCACAGCTAAACCAGGGCTGTAAATCTCCTAATCTAGGAGCTATGAACTGGAGCAGAGGCTGAAGGGGACCCTCATTCCAGCTAAACCTGGGGGTCAGGCAGCACAGCACCCCAGGGGATAGGGATGGGTGGAAGATAGCAGGGATGGGGATGGGAACAAGGCACCTGAGCCCAGCCCAGCATCCTGGGGGTGGCACAACCCATCACAGCCTTCTCTGGGCTTCATTGCAGAGCCAGGACTGGACCAAGAACGATGAGAAGCTCCTGCAAGCTGTGGAGTACAATGATGCCGGAAAGGTGACATCCCTCCTCGTCCGCAAGGGCCTGGTCCCCACCAAGCTGGACTCAGAGGGCAAATCCGCGTAAGTGCTGGCCCCCATCCCTAGGACACCAGGGACATGGGGCTGGGGACACGGCTGGTACCATGGACCCGAGTCCTACAGCCCCTGTTCTTGCTGCAGGTTCCACCTGGCCGCCATGCGGGGGAACGTGGACTGCCTCGAGGCCATGCTGGCCCACGGTGTGGATACCATGACCAAGGATAGCTCAGGTGAGGGCATGGCCATTGGATGCCCCTGGCTAATGCCACATTCCACCCAGGGCCACCAGTGCTCCCTGCTTGGTTGGGCTCTGGGGATGGAGGTGATGGCCTCCCCTGTAAATTGTCCCATCTTTCTATGGGGGACCAAAGCGCTGATCGATGATGCCCACGGGATGTTCCCTTCCTGTTCAGCCCCAGTCCAGCAGATCCTCCTGTGTGCCCATCTATCTGTCACCCAGTCAGTCCTCTTTACCATTGTCTGTTCCCTGAGCTGTCTGTGTCCCTCTCCCCAGGTCACACTGCCCTGCATCTGGCATCCAAGCATGGCCACCCGCAGTGTGTCAGCAAGCTCCTGCAGGTACCGGGGCTGGGAGCATGGTGCTGCGAGAGAGGGTGCTGTGCCAGTGTAGTGTCCTCATGTCCTTGGGCTCCCTTCCCTCACCAGTGCCACTGGTTGGCATGGGGGTTCCCAGCTCTGCCCGGTCCTCCACCGTGCCAGGGAGTCTGTCTGTCTGTGCCCTGTTCTCCTGTAACCCAGGCTCTCTCCCTCAGGCCTCGTGCCCCGTGGACGTGGCTGATGGCAGTGGCCAAACAGCGCTGCACCACGCAGGTGAGTGGGGACAGTACCAGCCCTGTGCTGCTCCTGTCCCCCTGCAGGCAGAGGGCTCAGCCTCTGTCCTCTCCGCAGCGTTCAGTGGCTGCATCTCCTGCTCCGAGATCCTCTGCGATTTCAAGGCTCCCTTGAACATCAAGGACAAGGTGAGATCCCTCTGCTCCTCGCCTGCAGTGCTGTGCAGAGCAGCAGGGGGGGCCAGGCTGGGGCTGCCTCTGAACTGCAGGGGGAACAGCAGCAGTACATGGCATGGAAACACGCCCTGAAGTGGCACATGGAAGACAGAAGATGACAGTTGCCCCCTATGGGGGGGATCTGAACCTCGTCTCTGTGTCCTTCCTGAACCCAGGATGGCTTCACCCCGCTGATCCTGGCAGCCAAGATGAGCCACTCGGAGCTGTGCCGGTACCTGCTGCACCGTGGCGCTGCCGTCAACAGCCGGGACCTGCAGGGGAGGTGAGTCTGCACTGGTGGGGCTGGGAGCAGATGGGGAGATGGAGGGAATGGGACCCTCACCTCTGCCCTCATCACTGTGCTCAGGACAGCCTTGATGCTGGCCTGTGAGAACGGCAGCGTGGAGACCGTGGAGGTGCTGGTGAACGCTGGCGCCCGGGTGGCTGTGGTGGACTCCACAGGTCACGATGCTGCTCACTACAGCCTGGCCACAGGCAATGCCCTCATCCAGCACTTACTGCAGGAGGCTGCTCAGCGCCGCTCCTGGGCCAGTGGTAAGGCAGCCATGCACCCTGCTCCTTGTCCATAGGGCTGGACCCATGGGGTGCTCCCACCCTTTGGGGTCAGGCTGTCTGATGCACGCTGCCAGGGCTGAGCAAGGCTGGGGGGCACGGGTCCCCTTTTCCCACACTCTGGGGGTGCCTTTGCCCATGCTGTCTCCAGCCCAGGGCAGGGAGGTGGTGCTGAGCCTCTGTTGCCTGTCTCGGTGTCTGCACATGCTTGCACATGCATGTTCACATGTGCTTGCAAGCATGGGGGTGTAAGTGCACGTGTGTTTCTATGCGTGTCTGCATGTGCAGGTCTGGGTGCATGTGTTTGTGTCTGCACATGTGTGTGCACCCCTGCAATTACACACCCATGTATCCCATATTTGTGTGTGCCCCTTGTATGCACGTGTCCCCCTGTGCACATGCGTATGTCCCCTAAGTGCCCACCCTTGTATGAGCACACACAGGGGTGCCCCTGCACCCACACAAGCTCTGCCTGCCCCTATTA